CCCGTGTCCCCTGCATCGGCAGGCGGACTCTCAACCACTGCGCCACCAGGGAAGCCCTGTGCTAGATTTTAATAGACAAGTGGTAGCAGGTGTAAAAGTTAAAATAACCTTTCATAGAAAGCTTAAAATTACGCAAATCCTATTTGTTTATATTTTTCTCTATGAATTGAGAAATTCAGTTTAGTAACTTAGTTTTAAAATTCATAGTCCCAAAAAGTAGAACAAGAACCAATGGGGAATAAAACTCAAAGAGGCAGATATACAGTTAAATATCAATAAAAGAACTTATAAATAGCCATTTGGTAATGGTTCCTCTCAGGTGGTCAATGCATAGTTTTTGGAGGTGTTTAATCAGAGGTTTAGTGTGCGCTTGTTACAAATGCTATAAAAGGATTTTTATTTTCAAAGAAAAGTTCTAAGCCCTTTTATTAACACTAAAATTTCATCATTTTGTTTGTGTACAAGAAGATAAAGTTTCATTTGATTTAGACCAAAAGGGGGAGGTAAACAGAACACTAATAATAGGCTGATTTAAGAAGTCTGTGGCACAAACATTGGCGTGGAACTTTTAATTTTTCACACACCATTCATCTCTATTTAAAAACTTTTCCCTGAGGTTCATATTTTTTGTTGGGAAATAAGATTGCAGTGCCTATTCTTTATAATTACTTTACATACTTAAGTATTCATTTCCTGTAAGAATTTTATGCTTTGTGGTAAAAACTCTGAAGGGTATTTTTCTTCTCACTCAGCAGTCTTACTTCCTATTTCCTTCTAGTGTCTTTTGTTCATAATAATCTAAATACTTTAGTTCAAATTTTTGTTTTCAAAACCAGGAAAAGGCATAGTACTTAAAACTGTCTTCTGGCAATTTAAGTTTAAATCACACTTTTAGTTAATAGCTATAATTTAGCTACTTTGAATAGATCCCAAAGATTTTAGTAGTGAATGAAATTGTTTTCATAGAAATGGTTTTGCAAAGTTCTGTGGCTATTGACTCTTTCTAAAAGTTGATTATATTAACACTATAAACATGTATATCCCCATTAGCATAATGTCTAACGTTAATTTTAAAGAAGAGGTAAAGTTGAATAAAATGTGGTTTTTCATTGTGTAGCTGAATATAGTACATTAGTTGAGTAGATTACTGAAGTCTCTATAAAATTTTGGTAACGAAGTAACCAACTTTGTTCTGAAAAGCAGCTGATATGTTTATTTTTAATGCTTAAAATACATTTATTGAAAACTTGGTGTTTCATCTAATTTCTGGTGTAGTATGGCATGAACCTGGGACTTCAGGTGTAAAGCTTTCCCATATTCCTTTTTTATTTTTGGACATGGTTTCATTTTTTTAATTAATTAATTAATTTTTGGCTGTGTTGGGTCTTCGTTTCTGTGCGAGGGCTTTCTCTTGTTGCGGCAAGCGGGGTTCACTCTTCATCGCGGTGCGCGGGCCTCTGTCGCGGCCTCTCTAGTTGCGGAGCACAAGCTCCAGGCGCGCAGGCTCAGTAGTTGTGGCTCACGGGCCTAATTGCTCTGTGGCATGTAGGAGGATCCTCCCAGACCAGGGCTCGAACCCGTGTCCCCTGCATTAGCAGGCAGATTCTCAACCACTGCGCCACCAGGGAAGGCCCTCCCATATTCTTATAACTGCTTTATAGAGTATGCACTGATAAGTTTTTGTGAATTATTGCAAACCTGCATCACTTTCCTTAAACCCTTAATTTACCCTTTCCACCTCTCCTTGACCTCACTACCTTTTAAAAAAATTGAATTATAATTGACCTACAACACTGTTAGTTCCAGGTGCACAACGTAATTTAGTGATTTGGCATTTGTGTACATTACAAAATGATCACCATGATAAGTCTAGTTACCATTTGTCACTATGCAAAGTTATTACAATATTATTGACAGTATTCCTCATGCTTTACATTTATCCCCTTGACTCATTTATTTAGTAACTGGAAGTTTGTACCACTTGATTTCCTTCACCTATTTCATTCCCCCACTCCCACCCCATGACCCTGACCTCCCCTCTGTTCTTTTTCTTCTTCTTTTTTTAAAAAAAATATTTATTTATTTAGGCTACGCTGGGACTTAGTTGTGGCATGTGGACTTCTTAGTTGTGGCATACGAAGTGTTAGTTGCAGCATGCATGGAGGATCTAGTTCCCTGACCAGGGATCGAACCTGGGCCCCCTGCACTGGGAGCATGGAGTCTTACCCACTGGACCATCAGGGAAGTCGCTCCCCTCTGTTCTTTATATCTATGAACCTGTTTCTGTTTTGTTATATTTATTCATTTGTATTGCTTCTTAGGTTTCACATATAAGTGAAATCATACGGTATTTCTCTGTCTGACTTATTTCACTTAGTATAATAACCTCTAGGTCCAACCATGTTGTCCCAAATGGTGAGATTTCTTTTCTTTTTTTAATGGTTGAGTAATATTCCATTGTATATATACACCACATCTTCTTTATCCATTCATCTGTCAGTATACACTTAGGTTGCTTCTGTATCTTGGCTGTTGTAAATAATGCTGCAGTGAACATAGGGGTGCATGTATCTTGTCAAATTACTGTTTCCGTTTTCTTCAGAAAAATACCCCAAAGTGGAATTGCTGGATCATATGGTAGTTCATTTTTAATTTTTTGAGGAAAAAAATACTGTTTTCCATAGTGGCTGTATCAATTTACATCCTGCCAGCAGTGCACTAGGGTACCCTTTTCTCCACATCCTCACCAGCACTTGTTATTTGTTGTCTCTTTGACAATAGCCATTTTGACAGGTGTGAGGTGATACTTCATTGTGGTTTTGATTTGCATTTCCCTGATGATTAGTGATGTTAAGCATCTTTTCACGTGTCTGTTGGCCACTATTCCTTCTTTTGAAAAATGCCATTTTTAAAATCAAATTGTTTTTTGATATTGAGTTGTATGAGTTCTTTGTGTATTTTGAATATTAACCCTTTATCAGCTGTATCCTTTACAAATATCTTCTCCCCTTCAGTAGACCACCTGTTCATTTTGTTGATGTTTCCTTTGCTGTACAAAAGCTTTTTAGTTTGGTGTAGTACCATTTATTTATTTTTGCTTTTGTTTCCCTTGCCTAAGGAGACATATTCAAAAAAATATTGCTAAGATTGATGTCAAAGAGCATACTGCCTGATTTCTTCCAGAAGTTTTATGGTTTCAGGTCTTATATTTAAGTCTTTAATTTATTTTGAATTTAATTGTGTATATGGTGAGAGAAAGTCCAGTTTGATCCTTTTTCATGCAGCTGTCCAGTTTTCCCAGCACCATTTATTGAAGAGGCTGTCCTTTTCCCCATTATATATTCTTGCCTCCTTAGTCATAGGTTAATTCACCATGTAAGTGTGGGTTTATTTCTGGGCTGTCTGTTCTGGTCCATTAATTGATGTTTCTGGTTTTGTGCTGGTACCATAGTGTTTTGATTACTGTAGCTTTGTAGGGTAGTTTGAAATCAGGGAGCATGATACCTCCAGTTTTGTTCTTCTTTCTCAGGATTGTTTTGACTATGGGGGGGGGTCTTTTGTGTTTCCACACACATTTTAGAATTGTTTGTTCTAGTTCTGAAAAGAATGCCATTTTTTTTTTTTTTTTTTGACTGCGCTGCATAGCATGCGGGATCTTAGTTCCCTGAGAAGGAATCGAACCTGTGCCACCTGCAGTGGAACCTCAGAGTCTTAACCACTGGACTGCCAGGGAAGTCCTGCCATGGTATTTTGTTAAGGATTGTATTGAATCTGTAGATTGCTTTGGGTATTACGGCCATTTTAACAATATTAATTCTTCCAATCCATGAATACAGTATATATTTCCACTTGTGTCATCTTCACTTTCTTTCATCGGTATCTTATAGTTTCCTGAGTACAGGTCTTTTACCTGTATTGGTTAGATTTATTCCTAGGTATTTTATTATAATATTTTTGACACAACTGTAAATGGGATTGTTTTCTTAATTTCTCCTTCTGCCAGTTCTGGTTAGTGTATAGAAATACAACAGATTTCTATATATTAATTTTGTATCCTACTGAATTCATTTATTAGGTCTAACAGTTTTTTGGTGGCATCTTTAGGATTTTCTCTGTATCATATGTCATATGCAAACAGTGACAATTTTACTTCTTCCTTTCCAATTTGGATTCCTTTTCTTTTTCTCGTCTGATTGCTCTGGCTAGGACTTCCAGTTACCTTTTTTTTTTTAAATAGTGAAGTCAAGGTTATTCTTTGTATGCACTTGCCCACCTCAGATTTATTTGCCTCTTCTTTCTGGTTTGGAGGGAAGAGATATTCCTTCTCTTTTCCCAAACTTAACTCTTTCACCTCTTTTCTCATTCCTGTCTCCCCAAAGTATTTTTTACGATTATTCTTCAAAGTGGAATTTGTACTTACTGCTTTTCCAATCCCCCAACATCCTCTCTTTTCCTACCATATTGTAGAAACTTGTTTCTGGTAGTATGAATACTAATTGCCAATCTAGTGACCATACTCACTGTCCATCCTTATTGCTTCATTTGCAACAATTGACCACGTTCCTTTCTTGAAACTTCTCTTCTATTGCCGTAGTTAAATCTACTTCCTGGTTTTCCTCCTGTAATCTTTGAATTGTTTTCCTTGTCTAGTTTCTAAATATAGGCACTCCCCCAAGGTTTTGTTTTTGGTTGTTTTTAATATATCTTATCTGTTCTCTCGGTCAGTGCTTTGTTCTTGAGGCTCTGAGATAGAGTTTGAAAGCTACTGATCTAGACTCCTTGGCTGTCTATGGTTGAGATGCAGTGATGATTAATTTTATGTGTCAGTTTGACTGGGCTATGGGATGCTCCGACATTTGGTCAAACATTATTCTGGGTATGTCTGTAATGATGCTTCTGGATGAGATTAATATTTGAATTTGTAGACTGAGTAAAGGCAGAATGCTCTCCCTAAAGTGGTGGGCCTCACCCTAACAGTTGAAGGCTTGAATAGAACAAAAGGGCTGCCCCTACCACCAAAAAAGGGGAATTCCTTCAACTTGACTGCCTTTGAGTTGGAACATCGGGGTTTTTTCCCTGACTTTGGACTCAAACTGAAACATTGGCTTTTCCTGGGTCTTGAGCCTGCCATACTCAGACTTAGAACTATACCATCAGCTCTCTTGGGTCTCCAGTTTGCTGACTGCAGGTCTTGAGACTTGACATCCTTTAAAATCACATGAGCCAATTTCTTATAATAAATCTCTCTCTCTCCATTCATATGTGTATAAAGAGATGTCCCAGCTTGATGTCCAGTAGGTGCAGTCCCTTATGTATTCCTCAGCCTCCTGAAGAGACTCTCCTGTTGATGGAACTTGGACCCAAAGTCCGTTTGCTTGGGATATTGCTCTGTCAGTGATCCTGATAGATGCTGACAACAATTAGCAGAGAGAAATTTCCCTGTAGAAAAGTGCAGAAATTGGATGATTCCCAGTTCTTTGTCTTTAGCTCTGGAATAGAATTTTGTAGTAGAGTATTTCTAGATGGTGACCAAACATCTACATGGATTTCCAAACCCAAAATATTTACCAGAGAACTCAGTATCTTCCCCCACAAACCTCTTTGTTTCATATATTGGATAATGACATTAGTGATTTTTTCTTATTATCATTTGCCTCTTTCATTCATTGAAAAATATTTGAGGGGACTTCCCTGGTGGTCCAGTGGGTAAGATTCTGCACTTTCAATGCAGGGGGCCCTGGTTGGGGAGCTAGATCCTGAATACATGCCACAACTAAGAGTTTGTATTGCTGCAACTAAGAAGTCCGCATGCCACAACTAAGAAGCCCACATTGCTGCAACTAAAAGATCCTGCGTGCTATAATGAAGATCCTGCATGCCGCAACTAAGACCCAGCAAAGCTGGGTCTTAAATAAATATTAAATAAATGTTTAAATATTTTTTTAAAAAAAGAAAGGCTCTTATTAAAAAAATTTTTTTAAATATTTGAGGACAAAATGTGTGGGCTACAAGTATTAACCATTCACAGACCTGATCCTTAAAGAACTCGGGTTAGAAGGGGGAGACAAAATGTATGTGCATATAACTGCAGTATGTAATAGAAAGCCGGGAGTGCTGCATAAAAGTTTGTGCAAGATCAGTGGAGGAAAGAGATGATTTGATGCTTAAGTTGTTTGGAGTTTGAGGAAGGGATCAGAAGCAAGAGTTGAGGGAGTAGGTGTGAAATTAAAAAAAAATTGTTTTTGGTTCCAGAAAGAGTGGAAAAAAACAAAAAAAATGCTAATGTTAATGTAAAGGTGAAATCATTGGCAGCCCAGCTGTTTTTTACTTTGTGAGCAGAACATTTGTGTTAATTTTCCAGATTCTATTATTACCCTGATGTATGACTAGATAATTAGTTATTATAATCTATTTCTGTCACCATCAATTGAAACTTATAACTTGCTTGAAAGGAAGGACCTAATACATGAAAGGCACTGTAAAAAATACTTTTTTGATTAAAAAAAAAGCATCTAGAAATGCCACTAGGGAGATTCAAAATCTATTAATAAGTGGAACATGAAAAACAAACAGAGTTAAAGAAGGAAAGATGGTTACTAGGTCAGCAAACATACAAATTTTTTATAGCATTGCTCCTGCAAAGGTCACAATGCTGTTTTTCTCTCGTGTTTTAAAGGTTTTTTTTTTTCCAGGAGACTGTGTTGTGAGGTACTAGAATGGTATAGTGAATAAGTTAGGTTGCCTGGGTTGATATCCTAACTCTGATTATATTAGTCATGTGACCTCATGTGCCTCATTAACTTCTGTGTGCCTCATTTTTTAATCTGTAAAATGAGGATAATAGTAATGTTACCCACCTACTAGAGCTTTTTGAGAAATAAATAATATATACATACATATATATACACACACACACACATACATACATGACTAAATTTCTTACAGCAGAACCTTACATGTAAGAAATGCTCAGTAATTGCTAGATATATTTTTGTGTGGTAAAATACATATAACAAAATTACCAGATTAACCATTTTAAGGTGTACAGTTCAGTGGTATTAAATATATTCACATTGTTGTGCAACCATCACCACCAACCATCCCCATAACTCTTCATCTTGTAAAACTGAAACTCTGTACCCATTAAGTAGTAACTCTCCATTCTCCCCTCCCCCTGGCCCCTGGCAACCACCATTCTACTTTCTGTCTTTATGATTTTGAATACTCTAAGTACCTCATATAAGTGGAATCATATAATATTTGTCATTTTGTGACAGTCTTATACACTTATCATAATGCCCTCAAGGTTCATCCATATTGTAGCCTATTGTAAAATTTTCAAGGCTGAATAATATTCCACTGTATACCTCAGTTTGCTTGCTTTTCCATTCATCTGTTGGTTTATACTTGGATTGCTTCCATGTTTTAGCTATTGTGAATAATGCTGCTATGAACATGGGTATAAAAATATCTCTTTGATACCTGCTTTCAATTCTTTTGGGTATAGACCCAGAAGTAGAATTGCTGGGTCATATGGTAATTCTATTTTTAATTGTTTGAGAAACCACCACATCGTTTTACACAGTGGCTACACCATTTTACATTACTACCAACAGTGCCCAAGGGTTCCAGTGTCTCCACATCCTTGCCAACATTTGTTGTCTTCTGTTTTTTGTTTATTTGTTTGTTTGTTTTTGTGGTACGCGGGCCTCTCACCATTGTGGCCTCTCTCGCGGCGGAGCACAGGCTCTGGACGCGCAGGCTCAGCGGCCATGGCCCACGGGCACGAACCCGCGTCCCCTGCATCGGCAGGCGGACTCCCAACCACTGTGCCACCAGGGAAGCCCTGCTTTTTGTTTTTAATAGTAGCTATCATAGTGAGTGTGAGGTGGTATCTCACTGTAATTTAGATATTATTTTTAATAATAATAATAAGAAAAAAGCTTATTTTATAGAATCAGATATTAATTATGAAAGTTACTGCTGTTCTTTTTAGGAGACAGTTGAAGGAACTACACAGTGCCTTATATTTTTTCATTGTTTTATGATTGCTATGGCAAATTCATTGGTTCTATGGAAGTAAATTTTAACTTGTTTTTAGAGGGAGCAGAACATTTAACAAATTCAACCAGTGGTTGGGTTCCTTATGAACTGGATATAAAGTTTTACAAAAATATGAAATTCAGTTAAATTTGATTCTTCAAGGAGCTTTCACATTAGGACAAATATAAAACAGGATGTGATGATAATGGTGTTTGGTTCGGACTAAGTACTTAGAAATGCTAGGAGGGAAGAAATGCTTCATACTGACTATTCATAAAAGACATTGTAGATGAAGTGGCATTCCATTGGGCCTTAAAAAATTAATAGATCTTTGACTTGTGTTGTGAGGGAAGGTTAGGAGGAAGACATTGAAGACAAAGATTCAGAGGCAAGATAGTTCAGTTTGTGTTTCATAGGAAGAGGATATGATTCAAACTAACTTGGACATAATATTCACTTGGGAAGTTCTGGGAAATACTATTGGATTAGATTGTGGCAAACTCGGAGTGGCAAACCAGAGGATTTCTTTCGAAATATAAAAATCCATTTTTCAGGTAGTGTGGTCTATTTGCTACAATACTTGTTTCTGTAACACAGATTAACCTCTGTATTTGGTAAATATGGGATTGATGTCAGTATAATGGGGAGGTAGCATTCGTTCAAAAATAATCTTTCCCAGCATATTAACATTTCAAAGTAATCTAGAACAAACTCTCATAATTAAAGGGACTATCTTAGTAATACAAGAAAATATTAGGAAAACACTGAAAGGCCTGCAGAAGTGAAAATGGTGGCTACAAGAACAGTTCTACATTCCACAGGGTTAAGCATTCTGATGAAGCAGTAAGTGCAGACAGAGAAGCTGTGAAGACATTTCTGTTTGCATTAAGAACTTTGGTGAAGAAGTCTACATCCTGGGGTATATTTTTTTTTTTTTTTTTTTTTGCGGTACACGGGCCTCTCAAATGTTGTGGCCTCTTCCGTTGCGGAGCACAGGCTCCAGACACGCAGGCCCAGCGGCCATGGCTCACGGGCCCAGCCACTCCGCGGCATGTGGGATCTTCCTGGACCGGGGCACGAACCCGTGTCCCCCGCATCGGCAGGCGCACTCCCAGCCTGGACCGGGGCACGAACCCGTGTCCCCCGCATCGGCAGGCGCACTCCCAGCCACTGCGCCACCAGGGAAGCCCCCTGGGGTATATTTTTAACTTAATTGAAATTGGTCTTCGCTAGAAGCAAATGCCCTGCAGAATCCATATAGCAAATTAGGAAGCAGGAGCTCCAGGGTTTAAGGAGGCTTCAGAGGATCAAAGACTGTAATTCATGGTGCAAATTCAAGTGGAAATTTAACTGCACTAGTGTTTCTGTAAAGACTTCTTATTTAGGGCTTTGATTACACTGATTTTTTTTTTTTTTTGTGGTACGCGGGCCTCTCACTGTTGTGGCCTCTCCCGTTGCGGAGCACAGGCTCCAGACACGCAGGCTCAGTGGCCATGGCTCACGGGCCTAGCCACTCCGCGGCATGTGGGATCTTCCCGGACCAGGGCACGAACCTGTGTCCCCTGCATCGGCAGGGGGACTCTCAACCACTGCACCACCAGGGAAGCCCGATTACACTGATTTTTGAGTAGTCTGCCTTAACTCTGTTTTTCCCATGAGCTCTGTTATTTGTAGTAGCGATTTTTCTAAAACTCAGGGCTGGTCACTTCCCCATGTACATATCACATTCTAGCAGAAGGGGCTCTGCCACATTATAAAAGCAGTAAATTAATAAATGAATTGTTGTCCTGAATTTTCAGTTTAATTTTCTGACAAAATCCTCTTGTTTGTCATGGTTATGGAAATCCATTGCAACTCATGAAATTTATACACTGTGTTCTCATTCACTCAGGTTTTAAATGAGAATGTTCCCATTTTAATTTTAAAGGAAATTTACGTTTGAAATTTGTGCGAAATCAAGTATTTTTACGTAGTAGGTCAAAACACCTCTAAAGGGACTCTGCTGCTTGGCTGTGCTTGGGTAGTGAATATATCTTCCTAAATGTTGCACACAAATTTTGATCAGACATAAACTTAACTTTTGAAGGACTGTCAGGGTGTTTGTACAAGTTTATTAACATAGAAAATGCCCACTAACTCCTAAAACTCATTCTCTTACATAAAGAACCAGATGCTTTCTTGGAATTTGAGACCTAAGTTGAATATATAGAATTCCTGGTTTATTAGAGGAGTCCCAAATGGGCTTGATATCTTCATTTTCTTAAAACAGAGCCTAGTCCTTTAATTTCATTCAGCTGTTAACTTTCTGAAGTGTTCATTTCTGGAAGATTTTGAATGGAAATGTCTTTAGCGTTCCATTCTTATTGACTGATACAAAGTACAGCCTATTTCTACTTTTTTATTTTCCATGTACACGTTTTTATTTTTATTCAACTGTAAGCAAATAGCAGAATTAACACAACATTCAGCAACTCCAGACCAGCTTTTTTTACACCGACGAGTGATCAATTTAACACGCACAGACTTTCGGATTTCTGATGACCTCTCACTCAGCCCCGCAGCTCATCTAGATGGCCAAGCTTTAACAGCAAAGTGACTCTCTCCCTATTGCTTTTTCCAGTGTTGCTCTTTAAAGGAGCCAGAGCGGGACGCTGACAGTCAATAACCAGCCTGAGATGTATCACGTTGCAGGCTAGTGGACATGCTGGCCCCTGGTTGTCTTAGTGAGAGACAGGGCCCTGAAAACAAATGCCAGAAGATGCCGTCACACACAGCCCTGGGCTCGGGCTCACAAAGGCAGAGGCAATCAATCTTTTCTTTTTTTCAACCTCCCTTAAAGATTCTTTGATGCTCTGTTCTAATACTGCAGACCTGGTCTTTTTACCAGAATTTTTTTCCTCTTTAACGTCTGGGTTGTTATATTAACATTTTGATGACCCCATCCTAGTACCAAAGTATCCCCCACCAAAACGGAGTTCAAATTTGATCAAAACATAACCCCCCTAGAATTATAGAGGACAGGCAGAAGGAAAAGACACCCTAAACCTAAATCTTACTGCTCAGGCCTCAGGGCAGGGGGAAGAGAAGAAATCTACATGCATCACTAAACTGAAACACTGCTTGGGAACTCTGGGATGATGTCCATCTCCTGGCTTTCCTCTGCTTCCCAGATAGCTGCTCGTAGAGTTTGGGCACATAGTCATCCCATTTGGCCTGGTAACACGTATCGGCCCCCGGAGCCCCGAGCTCATACTTTTTATAGAAATTCTCCACCTTGAATCTGCCACCGTGGTCTCCAGATCGGTTGCTGAGAATGCGTTCATCACACTTCAGTGCCTGTCCTGCTCATAAACCAGCCAGACGTAGTGGTGAAGGCCTGTGCCCTTGGGAAGCCCAGAGCCCACATAATCAGAGAGGACTGTGCTACTGCTGATGTCGTTGCCTTTCATGTTGACCACTAGGAAATGGTGCCATTCCCTGTATTTGGGGTCCTTCCTGCTGGGAGCATCTGGGTCTGTCAACACCAAAGTATACAGTTTACCTGGATGAAGGCCATCCCATGCAATGCTGGTGGGCCAGTTCTTCACCTGGGTGGGTGTCAGCACTCTACCCAGCTCGTCAACCTCTGCCCCGCCGTATTTGACCTGCAGTGGGTGCTGCGGCCTCTCATCCACTTCCTGCAGGCTCAAAGGCCCAGACCGCTTGTTGAGGTCCACGGGCATCACAGAACCAAGAGGGGCGGACAGCAGGGAAAGCAGCGGGAGGACTCGGCGCAGGGTAGTAGTCCAGACTCCCAGCCCTATTTCTACTTCTGAGCAAGTAAAACCAATGAACTTTAAAATAAGGCTTGGGACTTCCCTGGCGGTCCAGTGGTTAAAGATTGCGCTTCCAGTGCAAGGGGCGCAGGGTAATCCCTGGTCAGGGAACTAAGATCCCACATGACATGTGGCCTGGCCAAAATTTAAAAAAAAAAAAAAAAAAAGGCTTAGTTGGCATTACTTTTACAAAGATAGAAATCCAACTTTAAAACTTGTTATTGATATGATTTATTTTACCTCCATATTTTTGTACATATTTTCATAAAAATGTGTTTGCGCTATATTGCTATTTAGCATTTTGGGGATCTTTTACTTTTAAAATAAAAACACTCTTTTTCATTACAGAAAGGCCCAAATGGGACCAGTACTTTGCCAGCTGAAAGTTCTCTTCTACAAGAAATTGAAGTACAGAATGAGGAAGTGGCAGCTTTTTGTCAATCCATTACAAAGTAAGGAATTTTTCTTTATAAAGATTATTTTTTATTAAGTAATTTAAAAAAATTTATCTTAACCAGCTTAGTGCTACTAATTCTAAAATTTTTAAAGTTTTAACTATTTTCTCCCTGTGGCTAAAATGTCAAAACAATCAGTTAATTGGTACATTAACACAAACTACAGTTGAACCTGTTAGTGTTCTGAGTATTTAGAAGAAAAAATTGAGGTCAGACAGTAGATTTCTGATACTCTGTTACCAAGGGAGAATATGGCTTCAACATAGAAGTTTCATTAGAATTAGAAAATGCCTTTTTTTTTTTGCGGTACGCAGGCCTCTCACTGTTGTGGCCTCTCCCGTTGCGGAGCACAGGCTCCGGATGCATAGGCTCAGCGGCCATGGCTCACGGGCCCAGCCGCTCTGCGGCATGTGGAATCTTCCCAGACCAGGGCATGAACCCGTGTCCCCTGCATCGGCAGGCGGACTCTCAACCACTGCGCCACCAGGGAAGCCCAGAAAATGCCTTTTTTTTTTTTTTTGGCTGTGCTGGATCTTCATTGCTGCACACGTTGAGGTGCGTGGGCTTCTCACTGCAGTGGCTTCTCTTATTGCGGAGCACGGGTTCTAGGCGCACAGGCTCAGTAGTTGTGGTGCGTGGGCCCTACAGCGCACAGGCTTCAGTAGTTGTGGCGCGCGGGCTTAGTTGCTCCATGGCATGTGAGATCTTCCCGGACCAGGGATCAAACCCGTATCCCCTGTGTTGGCAGGCGGATTCTTAACCACTGGACCACCAGGGAAGTCCCTGCCTTTTTTTCCTTTATAGGGAGACTTAGTTTTGCCATAAACTTTCTAGCATTCAAAATATTGTCCTACTTAGAATTAAGAGATGATATAACAAGCAAGATTAGAGGAGCAAATATATTTTCTGAAGGTTAGAAAAGTGCATTTCTAAAATGTTCTTTTAATCCTAAATGTGTGCAGTGTTCTTAATGAAGAAACTGAGACTCAGAGAAGTTACCTACCAAAGTTTACTCAGCTAGTCTGTAACAGAGCCAGGTCTCCATTACCTCTGGTTTGGTGTGTTTTCTTTCCATCATATCACTGTATTAGTGAGGACTTCTGTTATGAGTGCAAGAAACCCATCTTAAACTAGCATAAATCAAGGAAGGTTATGTATTGGTTCACAAACCTGTATAGCAGAAAGAGGGAGGATGGGGCAGAGCTCAATGACAGCAAGATCCAGGAATTCACACACTGTAATTGATCCCTACTCCCTTTGGACTCTTCTTCCTCCCTTTTCTCCCTGGGCTCTTTCACTATGCATGCTGGCTTCTACTACAGATGGAGTTTTGAAGGCAGGGAATATAGCCACCGATAGCTTAGACTTTGATATTCTAATGGTCTTGTTAACAGAAAGGAAAGAGTCCTTTCACTCAGCACCAGATAGAAAAATCCCACGGAAGGAGGAAGTGGAACAACAGACATTGTGGCCAACTGGATGAGATCTGTTATCAAAAGAAGGAAAAGTAGGGACTTCCTTGGTGGCACAGTGGTTAAGAATCCGCCTGCCAATGTAGGGAACACAGGTTCGATCCCTAGTCCGGGAAGATCCCACATGCCACGGAGCAACTAATCCGTGAGCCACAACTAGTGAGCCTGCATGCCACAACTACTGAAGCTCACACACCTAGAGCCCGTGCTCCGCAACAAGAGAAGCCACGGCAATGAGAAGCCTGCCCACCGCAACGAAGAGTAGCCCCCGCTCACGGCAACTAGAGAGAGCCCATGTGCAGCAACAAAATCCCAACGCAGCCAAAAACAAACAGACAAATAAATAAATAAATTTATTTGAAGGAAAAGTAGATCACTACTGGGAGATTTATTCTGAATCCAGTATTTTCCCCAGTGTGGTTTAAGCAAAGCAGAGTTTGGGGTTCCCAGATCATTTTCGAGTATATTCATCATTTTTATGATATGGGACTTATTAATATTTAACTAGATTTTCTAGACTATTGGTAACATTTCATTAAAATTCTATCTTCCTGTGTGTCACCTTTTAACCAGCATTCCTTTTCTTCAGGATACCTTAGGGGAAAAAAAAGAAGAAAAATATCAGTAGAGTCACTTTTTCTTTCCTGAAAAGGTTACTCTTAACTGTGTTTTTAATACTCATATTTTTCAGTAGACATTTAAAATAGAAGAGACATTTAGGTGACTGAGAATGCAAATTGCATGTATTAGAAATTACCTGTGCCTTTATTCCATTATACCATTATGTATGTGTGGTTAACAGTTTGGAAATAATCTTTTATCTTAATGGTTTGGTATTAATCTGATATGTGTTTTATCTTAATAGTTTGGTATTAATCTGATATGTGTCCATCGAGTTTTAAAAATTTTCTTTCCCAACAAGCCTTGTCTATTAGACTGTGTTGAGTGACTATTGCATTTAAGCTTTGCATGTTGAGAAATTAGGCTCTCTGTGATCTGCCTTTTTTTCTGCATTTGAATCTTAGTGTTATTTACACAAACTCTGCCACTAAGCTAAAATGATCATTTTTATTTATGTGTGCACACACACGCGTACACACACACACAAATGGCTTATGTAATATTAAAACCTCAGGTGAACTAGAGACAATGAATTCTTTTTGTAATTTATTTCTGTTAGACTGGGATTGCAACAAATGTTTCAGAGAAGTAAGAGGCAGAGGTGTTTTTGAAGCCATGTTCTAGAAAATTCTTTCATTCCCCTCTGACCTTGGAGATTGGAGTCAGGAGAAGTCTTGATGTCTTGAAGAAATTAATGTCACTTTCTATTTTTTCCAGTGTGCAGATTTTAAAAACAAGTATTTATACTCTTAGTAAATGCCTCATTTTTTGAAATCTCCTAAAATGATTAATTTCATTATTTTAATTCAGCTATGACATTAGTGTAAGATTGTCAGGATGATATTTGTTTACAGTTAAGCCTACTTCTAGGCCTTGTTTTTTTTGCTTCTGTGAAATCAGGGAGTTGGACTAGTGATCTCAAGGGTCACTTTCAGTTTAAAGTTCTGTAAAATACTTTGAATCAGGGCATTTAATTATTACTGCATTTTTCTTGTTTTTATTTCTTTCTTTCCTTTCCTTTCACACTCATCATAATTGACAAAACTTGCTGTATCTACTAGTTACATAGGTCCAGAGAAAGTTCTCAGAGGAATGTTAGATACCAGTGGAAATTTTTGCTGCTTCATTTGTGGTCTCCTAGGGTAAGATGAAAAACTACACTTTACACTTGTCATTCTGAATAGCCCTTAATTTCCTTTCCTCGTATATGGTTCCAATCTAATATTTATATTCTACAAAAGTGTCTTGATCCCAAGGATTCCCTATAGGTTTTCACCTCTGCATTTAATTTTATTCTAAACGATGCTGACTCAAGTTTCTTATAAAGTAGTGTCAATTCAATTAAAAACCCTCATTTTTAAAAATAAATTTATTTCTATTTTTTATTTATTTTTGGCTGTGTTGGGTCTTTGTTGCTGTGTGCGGGGTTTCTCTAGTTGTGGTGAGCAGGGCCTACTCTTTGTTGCAGTGCGCAGTCTTCTCATTGCCGTGGCTTCTCTTGTTGCGGAGCGTGGGCTCTAGGTGCACGGGCTTCAGTAGTTGTGTGGCACGCAGGCTTAGTAGCTGTGGCTCGCGGGCTCTAGAGCACAGGCTCAGTAGTTGTGGTGCACGGGCTTAGTTGCTCCGTGGCATGTGGGATCTTCCCAGGCCAGGGCTCGAACCCGCATCTCCTGCATTAGCAGGTGGATTCTTAACCACTGTGCCACCAGGGAAGCCCAAAACCTTCATTTTTATATGTAACTTTTTATCACTAGAATTTTTGTCCAGTAGACTCTTGTTTTCTGAACTGTCATCAGGAATTTCTGATTTTCCTTTTATCATCCTTAAGGATTTCTGAAAATTGAAGGCTTCCTTGGATATAGATAAAGTTCTTTACCGTTTTATATATTAGTTAGCTACATGATTTGCTGTATCTTATTTCATATGGTATTTCTTGTTTCATAGGAAACAAGAATACCAAATATGTGAGAAACAATAAAAAATCTTAGGCTGGGTCCTGTGAAGGTCTTGTCATTGTGTTACAGAGGGGTAAGCTTGGCAGCAATCAAATATTTGAAGATAATGTGTCCATATCTAAAGGTGCATTTCCAACATCAATTTATTTGATGGATTATAAAACTTTATTTTATAAAGTTTATTACTTTATATTACCTTTTTTTTCAATTACATTTGTTTTTAATATTGGATCCTTTGTGGCACTTAAGATCACAGTGCAGAAACCAGATTTATTCATTTATTTGACGAGATGCTTATAACGCTTACCATGTGCTAGACACTGTTCTGAGTGTCCTTGTAAACTTAATTCACATAATTCTCAAAACAACCCCATGAAGTTAGTAGTAGTATTATCCCCATTTTGTAGAAGAGGAAACTGAAGCAACAAGGAGATTGAGTAACTTGCCTAAGATTACACAGCTAGTAAGTAGTACAAACAGGATTTAAACTTGGGAAGTCTGACTCTAGCGGTAGTGCACATAGTTACACTTGCTGCCTGCCTCTCCAGAACCTTTCTTGTTGTCAACTCAAACTATTTTATTCTGTTCCTATAACTTGATTATTTTAATCTCTACAGAAGCGAATAGATAAAACTTCCAGCATTCATTCCGTTTATAGCCCTGTGAAAAGCAGATGGGAGAAGTGGAATTTGTCTTCTATCTTCCAGAAGAAAGTCAGTTAAAGGAAGCCCACAGGTTTAAAGAAGGCATCAAATCCTCCTTTGTCTTCAGATAATAGGAGTGCTATCTGGAGATGAGCCATACACCTGGCTTATATATTTAAATTTAAACTATTTTGCTACTATAATACCAAGAATACTTCACAGGCAATTTTTTTGCCATTCCCTAAGTCTTAGAAATCACTTTGAGGGAATAAAGGCCTCATAGCACTGCAAAAACCCATTGTATATGTTTTTCTATCATGCTAACAACCAAAAACTGTGTAGGAAAAAGGATGTCAGAAAAAAAGATTTTAAAAAGACAACAAACTTTTCATCCCTCTGGCAATTACAATTTAGGGCTATCACCTGTATTGTCAATGGTTCATTAAAAATGTACATTTTGTGAAATTATACTGTTTAGCCAAAAATCTGAAGCAGAGAACCTCATTTAATGCTGTGTATCCAGTGTGTGTTTTGTTGATGTTGATAGTGTTACCAAAGCTGTCCTGGCAGTACTTAATCTCTTTCCTTGGATTCTGTTTATTAAAAAAGCAAATGCCAGTGTTTTGGAGTTTTGACAGGGGTCCATTCATTGCATTTCTCCTGAGCTGCTCTAGAATTGGACAATAACACAGAATTGAATGGCTATAAGCGTGCAAAGACTTGTTCAGGGCTCTCAAATGCAGCTTTCAAAAAAAGAATTTAATTTCTTGTTTTTTGTGAATAGATTGAAGACCAGCTTTCCATATACCAATCACTGCACAAATCCAGGCTATTTGTTAAGTCCAGTCACGGTGCAAAGAAACATATGTGGAGAAAATGCTAGCGTGAAGGTCTCCATTGAAATTGAAGGATTTCAGCTACCAGTTACCTTTACATGCGATGGTAGGTTCATAGTTCCCCAACGATCTTGTTTTGCTCTGATTAGGGAGAAAATGTCTAAAATGTTAATGTTATCATTCTTTTAATAAACTGACTCTGTTATCATTAGGTATCCTTTAAAATATCTGTGTGTGTGTGTGTGTGTGTGTGTGTGTGTGTGGTAAAATACTTAACATGCATTAGTTATCCTTTTCCAGAAATTGGCATTCATATGGATAGTTTTGTGGTTTGGGTTAGAGAAAAACCAGTTTACTTTTATAACTACATATTTCTCTGAAAGATGCTGAGTAATTTGGTTAATCGGTGGCTGTTGGCCAAAGCCCCAAAGCATTAACTAGCAAGGCTAATTATAGTCCTATTCTTTATATTCTAAAGGAAGACTTATTCTTTTTAAACATACCTTAAATTTTGGTTTGGGGAATCGTATGCAGTAAGAATTAATACTAAAATTGAAGGAAAGTAAGGTCAATAAGCTTCTTGATTGAAGTAAGCATGGATAAGCATTGATAGCAAATGTTTTGATTTGTATCAAATTTTGACTTGATATATCAAGATCTGATTCATTTAAAAATATATCAAATGCCTATTGTTTGGTCCTTCATAAATGTGCACATTTATAGTGCACATCTCTTTTAAGAAATGTAACCATATTATAGTAGAAGTGCTTTGTGTGTTTAAATAATAACTGTTATGATACATATAAGTGTGTTCAGAAATGTAGCTATTGTATTAGATAGAGGTTTTATGGCCTTTTCTGCCAAACTGTTAATTTTCATGAATTCTGAATGTAGTCACTGTCTTTTAAGTTGAACATAAAAGCTCTAAGTATAGAAATAGGTTACTTTAGTTTTTAATGGTTTGTAATCTTAGTATCCAGCTATTGTGAAGAATGATAATTGAATAATACTTCCTACTTTCTTTATTTTTATTCTTCATTGGATAATTTACCAGGCAAATGTCAAATGTTTAAAATGGTGATTCTTTTTCCTTATGATTTGGTTTAAATAATTGTTTGCTAGACACTGCTAAATGTCATCCTTTTTGGAGGAGTCTGTAAAACAGAGGTGGCTTTCTTAGCTTAGATCTGCCCTGTCTAATACGATAACCACTAGCTACATGTGGCTATTGATTACTTGAAATATGGCTAATATAGATTGAGATGTGCTATAAGTGTAAAATACACACTGGATTTCAAAGACTTACTTTGAAAAGAGAATGTAAGCTATCCCATTAGTAATTTTGAAATACCAATTATATATTGAAATGATATTTTGGATATATTAGGTTAAATAAAATATATTATTGAAATTAGATTCATCTGTTTCTTTTTACTTTCTTCAACATGGCTACTAGAAAATTTTAAATTATATATGTGACCTGCATTATAGTTCTCTTATATAGTGCTGTTTTAGATTATAAGAAATACAGTCTGAATAGGTATATACTTAGAGTTGAATGTATGCAATGAAAATGATGACTAACTCTTTTACAGTGAGTTCTACTGTAGAAATCATAATAATGCAAGCCCTTTGCTGGGTACATGATGACTTGAATCAAGTAGATGTTGGCAGCTATGTTCTTAAAGTTTGTGGTCAAGAGGAAGTGCTACAAAAGTAAGTATTCATTTAATTATTGAGCAACATTTTTGGAAATTACATTTTAATGGATTAAATTAGAAAAATTTCAAGTTAAATTTATAATCTAAAACCACATTGGGTCCTAGTGAATTGGTTTATTGGATCAGTTAACTTATATTAAGATATACGTTGTCCAAGACATCATGTCTAAGACAGTAGAGGATCTTGCCCTTAAGAAGCTGATAGTCTTAGATGGGAAGAATGGTGGGCAATTGGTTGACAAGTGAATTTAAAGTTGTTTTTCTTTCTGCAGAGAGGCAATAGTTACATCATTAGGGACTCCATTTTCCTTTTGTAGCATGCAGTATTACTTTATACACAGTGTTTAGCTGTGATTTCCTTTTAGTTGCCTGAAATAATCATTATATGGATCTTTTTCTGAACCTACTAGAAATGCTCTGTCCCTGTTTTTTTTCCTTGTCTTCATCTTCATTCTTCTTTGCTTTAACTCTTCTCATGTAGAATTATTTCTCTATTTAAATGCTCACACTTGGTTAAAAAAATCTCTGTATTTTACCATTCTCTTCAATTCCTGATGCAGATACAATTTACATTTTACTCTCACCTGTATAATTTCTAGTTTGAGGAGAATAACATTGATGAATAATTGATATATTTTAACAGTAATCATTGTCTTGGAAGTCATGAACATATTCAAAGCTGTCGAAAATGGGACACAGAGATTAAACTACAACTTTTGACCTTCAGCGCAATGTGCCAAAATCTGGCCCGAACAGTAAGTGTGTACCCTAGAACTGAATTGCATTTGGTTGAATCTAAATAATTTTAGATTAATTTAGGTATTAATTATTAAATATTAATTTTAGATTAATATTAGTTTGGATTAATGTATAATTCTAAATAATTGCTAATCAGCCAGTTTGCAATTTGTACGTGCTCTGAGAGTTTTGGGTTTGACTGGGAGTGAGGCACTCTTTATCCCCTACAGGATAAAGCAGATGTGGGGAGAGTTTTAGCAGATGGGGGGGAGACTTTCAATCATGGAGGTTTAGGTAGCATAATACTCAGAGTTGGAGGCATGTTTGAAAATGAAAAGTGGAGGAATTATAAAAGTTTGGCTTGTAATAGTTTTACACAAGTTACACAATGAAAACATCAGGGTCAGTCAAGGAGAAATGGGGAAGAAGAAAGATTTTGAATGCTAAATATGGTTTTGGGGAGAAAAAGATCCACATTGACCTTTGCACCAAACTGAGAAAAATACATTATTTTTCACAAAATGGAAACTAATTCTCTGTTTTAAAACTATAGTACTTTCTTTTGAGGTTAAAGCAAAATAGAATGCAAGAAATTAGGCCATTTTATTACTGTATAAACACTTGATGACTTTTAACCTCTAAAGAGAATCATTCATTTGGTAGAATTTTAGGAGGAAAAATATCAATCATTTCTACTTTCTCTTTTCTTTATTTTCCTAGGTTTTGCTCCTATGTTAGGTAGAATTTATTTCACTTGGGTGGAAACTATTTCACAAAACTCAGTACATTTTAGCAATCATTAGTAACTTCTCTTTTCAGTTTCTTAAGGCATGATGTTTTTGAGTATTTTGAATAATAAGGGTTATCGTTGAAGAGACCAGTGCCTTATTTATTGAAGGTAAGGTAGAGGAAATTTGATTATCATTATAAAAAATGCAGAAATTCAGGTGATCTCATCTGGTTCCCACCCCACCTTCATTTGGCTGTCAGCCATCTTTAAAAGTGCTTTTAGCTCTCCATTCTCTCTCTATAGCAGAGGCCTCGGTTCTCAAAAGTCACTTTCATTTCAAGTATTTATCATACGCTTAACCTTATTTAATTTGGCAATAGAAAGACCAAAGAATGGATTTCATTATTTGGTAAACATTTGTCTGTATGTTTATTTAGGCAGAAGATGATGAAACACCTGTGGATTTAAACAAACACCTGCATCAAATAGAAAAACCTTATAAAGAAGTCATGACAAGGTGTGGCATCTAAAACATTAATTTCAGGTTTTCAAACATTACATTTTTTTTTTGTTTGTTTGTTTTTGTGGTATGCGGGCCTCTCACTGCTGTGGCCTCTCCCATAGCAGAGTACAGGCTGCAGATGCGCAGGCCCAGCGGCCATGGCTCACGGGCCCAGCCGCTCCGCGGCATGTGGGATCCTCCCGGACCGGGGCACGAACCCGTGTCCCCTGCATCGGCAGGTGGACTCCCAATCACTGCGCCACCAGGGAAGCCCCAAACGTTACTTTTGGATGTGAATGCACTTATTTTGGTGAACAAAACAATCATTTTTGCATATGGTATCTTTCAGCCACAATAACTTCTTTATTTCAGACATCCTGTTGAAGAACTTTTAGATTCTTATCACAACCAAGTGGAACTGGCTCTTCAAATTGAAGTAAGTCTTAATTCACATTTTGGCTTGATGATTTAAAGATTCTTTTCTCTGTACACTTTTAAATACTAATGTTGGAATTAGATTAAATATTTTAGAAGGACTATTTAAACTATATTCTTGAAGTTGATATTTGATAACTTGTTTTCTGACCCAACATATTAACAAAAATTCTCAGTAGTGCTTGAGTTACCTGAGATTTATTACTAAGAGGAACCTTCACTTCAATTCAAAAAGCATTTATTGAATGCTTGCTATATGCTAGATGCTGGAGTTATGAAAATGAATGATCTAATCCCCACCTACCAGGAACTTAAAACTAGCGATGAAAGATTTAAACAGAATTTCAACATAGTAAATGTAGAATAGAGGTGTGTGTTGGTGTCCTTTGAGAGATTGATGAGGGGCACTTCTCCCAACTTGAAGGTTCAAGGAAGGCCTCTAAGAAGGGATGCTGCCGGAGCCAAGTCTTAAACAGTATGAGTTAGCTAGAAGATAGTTGGGAAGGGCATGTGAACAAAAGTACATAGGTGTGATACATATGTGGAAGTGTAAGCACTTCTCTAATACAAAGTGTGAAGTGAAGGTTGAAAGATGAAATTGGAAATAGCCAGATATAAATTACCACCATATAATTCATGTGAAGGAGTTTTACTTTATTCTCCAGATCGGGGGCCATATCCAGTCCACTTCCCATTCTTGTAAAGAAAAATTTGGGGGACACAGCCACATCCATTTGTTTACATATTTTCTATGACTGCATTTGTGCTCTAATACTAAAGTTGAGTATTTGGGACAGAGACCATATGTCATGCAAAGCCTGAACTATTTACTATTCTCATTTTACAGGAAAAGTTTGTTGACCCCTCCTGTAGCCATTCAAGGTGTTTTAAGCAGAGGGTAGGAAGTGGAGTGGGGTGGGGTGGGTGACTTGTTTAGTCTTGAGCTCTGAAGTCACTCTGGCCAAATTGTGGAAGTTAAATTTAGGCTTGGCAGGATTGGTTTCAGGGAGACTACTTAGGAAAGTTTTTGACAGTAGTCCAGGTAAAAGATAGTGAGTGTGGTACAGGTAAAGAGGAGGGACTGATTAACAATATTTAGTAGATAAAATTGGTTAGATTTTGATAGGTAATGAGATGTAAGAGAAGAAGAAATAGTGTAGGATGACTTCCAGATTTCTAGCTACTGTTATACTTTTTATCAATATATAATTATGTTGATTTATCCAACAAATATTACTGAGTATCTCCTCTCTCAAGGCACTGTTGTAGGTGCTGAGGATGTGGCAGGGGACAAAAGAAACTAATCCTTGCCCTTTAGAGAATTTACATTCTAGTTAGAGGAAACAGACAATAAAATAAACTAGCAAGGTATATGTTATATCAGGTGGTAAGTGCTATTAGAGAAACATAGAGGAGGGTAATGTTGCAATTTCAAATAAGGTAATCAGAGAAGGCCTCATTGAGAAAATGAACTTGAGTAAAGAACTGGAGAAGGAGAGGAAGAAGCTACCTGGTTATCTGGGGGAGAAGTGTGCCTGGATATATAAGGTCTGCTAGGCTAGAATAGAGTGAGGAAGGGGGCAATAGTGGAAACAAATCAATGAGGAAGATTTTTTTTTAGTCACAGGAGAGAGAATGATGGCTTGGACCAGAAGTGATGAGACGGGGTTGAATTCTGTGATAATTTTGAAGTTAATGCTAGGAGGATTTACCAATAGATTGGATGTGGAGCATGAGAGAGAGAGAGAAGCATAATTCCAAGGTTTTCTACCTGAGCATTTGGAAATTTGGGGTTGCTTTTAGTGAGATGTAGAAAACTGAGAGAAGAACAGGTTTGTGGGGAAGATCTGAACTCAGTTTTGGACATTATGTTTGAGATGACTGTTATTCATCCAAGTAGTGATATTGAGTAGGCAGTTGGATATGAGTCTGGAATTTAATGGAGGAGATCCAGGCTGGAGATAATAAACTGGGGAATCATCAGAATATAAATATTTTGCAGCCATAAAACTGGATGAGATCACCAGGAAAACCACTGCAGGTAGAGGGGGAAAAAAAGTTCAAGGATGGAGCCATGGGTATACTCCCATCTTATAATAAAACAAAAAATCCACATCCCCCTGCAGCAATCACCCTACTTCTCTATTCTCCTTATAGCAAAACTTGAAAGTTAATCTGCTTTTTCTACACTTCCTCTCTTCTCATTCTCTTATGAACCCACTCCAACCAGGCTTTCATTCTCAACGGTTCTCTGAAACTGCACTTAAGATCATCAAGGACTTCAATGATCATGATTCCAGTAATAAGTTCTTAGTCTTTCTTTTTCTCAACTTTTCTATCGTGTTTGATAGAGTTGATCGTTTCTTCCTTATTGAAACACTCACATGGCTTCTGGGATACCACATTCTTGGTTCTCCTACTTCCAGTGTCTGCTCTGTTTTCACTCTTACTTGTGGCTTCGGAGCTCCTTATGATCTCCTTATCTTCCTGACCTCTATAACATTAGAATGCCCAGGGTGCTCAGTTCTAGGACCTCTTTTCTTCTCTCTGTATTCACATCGTAGGTGATCTCGTTTAATCTCATGTCCTTAAATACCCTGCATATGTTGATCATCACTTCAGATTCAAATGTCTATTACTTGATATTTTTATATGAATGTCTGACATCTCAAATTTAAGATATATGAAACTGAATTTTTTTGCTATCCTTCATATCTATTCATCAGTCTTCCCCTTCTTAATAAATGGCAACTCTGTCCTTCCATTTGCTCAGGCCAAAACCTTGTAGTCATATTTTATTTCTCAAGAAAAAGATATTTCACATCCCATATGCAGTCTCATTCCTGTCAGCTCTGCCTCGAAAATACATTCAGAATGTGACCACCCTTCATCACTACCAAAACTATACTCCTAGTCAGCTATAGTAGTTAACAGCAGTTCCTTACTGGTCTTCCAGCTTCTACCTGTCCTTCTATAGCCTGTCTTCAATAGGCAACCAAAATTATCTTTTGAAAATAAATCACTAAATGCAATGTGGTATCCTGGACTGTATCTTAGAAGAGGAAAAATACATTAGTGGAAAAACTGGTGAAATCTGAAGAAAGCCTGCAGTTTAGGTAATAGTAATTTAATGAGTGTTAATGTCTTAGTTTTGACAAATTTAACATGGTTATGTAAGAAGTTACTTAGCCCATTTTCCTTTAATGTTGAAGGAGAACTCTCTTTACTATTCTTGCAATTTTTCTGTAAATCTAAAATTGTTCCAAAATAAAAAAAATATTTAAAAAAATGAATATAATCACAGAAAGCAAATGTAAAATAAGAGAAAATCAAAGCTAAAAGATGGTTCTTTGAAAAGATTAATAAAATTTGTAAACCCTTAAGAATATTAAATCATGCCACTCTTTTGTTCAAAATACTGTTCACCATCTCAGTCAGTAAAATTCAAATCCCTAATTGTTGCTTCAAGGCCCTACACATTCTGACCCACTACCTCTCTGATCTGGCTTCCTACCCCTTTCTTCCTTTGTTCTAGCTGATCTGCAGGTATGCTCCCCAGCTGGGACCCTTGTGCTTATCCCTTCTTTTAATGCTCTTTCCCCAGATACTTGCATGACTTACCCTTTCAGTTTATTAATGTCTGTGCTCAAATGTTGTCTAATCAGAGAGCTCTTCACTGACCATCTTATCAGAAGTAATAGTGACTCTGTATAGCTTTATTGAGGTATAATTTATATACTATAAAATTTACCCATTGGATGTGTACAATTCAATGATTCTTTTAGCAAATGCATAGAGTTGTATAATTGTCACTACAGTCCACTTTTAGGATATTTTCATCACTCCCAAAAGTTTCCGTGTACTACTTTCCAGTCATTCCCCATTCCCATCCTCAGCCCCAAACCACTACTGATGTGGTTCCTGTCTCAGTAGATTTGCCTTTAATGGAGATTTCCTGTAAATGGAATCATACCTTATGTAATCTTTTACATGTGATTTCTTTTACATACCATACTGTTCTTAAGCTCTGTCCATGTAGTATGTATCCACAATTTTTTTTTATTGCTGAATACTTCCATTGTATGGATATATCACATTTTATTTATCCAGTTACCCAATAACTGACATTTTGAATGCAGTTTTTGATTATTATGAATAATGCTGCTATAAACATTCATGTATAAGTCTTTGTGTGGATGTATGTCTTGATTTCTCTTAGGTAGGTTTATGGGAGAGGTCAGGAAGTTGCAAAGTTTTGATTCCTCCTGGTCTTAGTTTTCTAGGGATAAGATGTTAATTTATTTCACTAAAATGAAGTTAGGGTGGCAGGTAGGGGTTTTGAGGCAAGGAATAATGGTTGGCTTCATCTTCTAAGGGGAATGGGAAAGAGAGCTGACCAGGGCTTATAAAAGGAATGTTAAATGGCATGCAGACGCCTGCTGAAATTGGAGACTGTTGGATCTTTATGGTTGTGAGATTTTCTTTAGAAGAACTAGCTGCCTGGTAGAAGCAGAGAAGTCTCTGAGCTCAGAGAACAGGTTTGGTCAGAATGAGGGTGTGAGGGCTGGAAGCAAAGGAGATTGTGATCAGAATATGGTATTGTGGTTAAGATTCTGATAGGGTACAATTATGGGGTTGAAGATGCTGTGAATTTTCAACATTGACAGGTTTTTTTGGCTGTGTTGGGTCTTCGTTGCTGCGTGTGGGCCCTCTATAGTTGCGGCGAGCGAGGGACCACTCTTTGTTGCCGTGCACGGGCCTCTCACGGCGGTGGCCTCTCCTGTTGCAGAGCATGGGCTCCAGGAGCGCGGGCTTCAGTAGTTGTGGCACGAGGGCTCAGTAGTTGTGGCTCACGGCTTAGTTGCTCCGTGGCATGTGGGACCTTCCCAGACCAGGGCCCGAACTCGTGTCCCCTGCATTGGCAGGTGGACTCCCAACCACTGCACCACCAGGGAAGCCCCACATGGACATTTATGTAACTGAGGCTTCTTATAGAATATAAACGTCCAGAGCAAAAATAAGGCATGTAGTAGGGGAAGTGACCACATGTCAGTGGCAAGGCAGATCAGTCAGTCAGGGGCCAAGTCAGGCAACAGAAACTATAGCAGTTTTTTTTTTTGTTTTGTTTTGTTTTTTTTTTTTTTTCCTTGCGTTATGCGGGCCTCTCACTGTTGTGGCCTCTCCCATTTGCGGAGCACAGGCTCCGGACGCGCAGGCTCAGCGGCCATGGCTCACGGGCCCAGCCGCTCCGCGGCATGTGGGATCTTCCCGAAACGGGGCACGAACCCGCGTCTCCTGCATCGGCAGGCGGACTCTCAAGCACTGCGCCACCAGGGAAGCCCTATAGCAGTTTTTTGAACAGGGAAATTTAAAGAATTGTTAATTAGTAAAAGGTAATTAATTACTATAAGGGGTAAAAGAGGACTGAAGCAGGAGTTGGCACATTATGGCTCACATGACAAATCTGGCCCGTTTTTGTAAATAAAGTTTTATTGGAACACAGCCATACTCATTCATTTATGTTATCTGTGTCTGTTTTCATGCAGAGTTGAATTGTGACACACTGTTTGACCCACAGAGCCTAAAACATTTGCTATCAGGCCTTAAAAAAGTGCCAGCCTTGCTCTGAGAGGTCCAGAAGTAACAGGTGCAAAGAAGCGCAATTATCAATTCTACGTTGAGGAGTAATGTGGATAGTGAAGGAACTTTGAGGACTTATGATAGAGCCTCTCCTTCACCCCCAGGCTGAAATTTGGCCTCTTTGAAGAGGGTATGGCTATCACAGGAACACACAGGTTGCCTATGGCAAAGAAATTTGGTAGAGCTGTCAGATTGGAGGAGCATGGCTTGAGGGTACAGCTGGAGCAGGTTGTTGAGGACCACTGGGCTTCCATACTGAATTTAAAAATAGAGGACTGGAACCCTGATGAGAAGTACCTTCCTGCTGTTATTGCCTTTGAGTGTCCTTTCAGTGCCCTCTATTGACAAAACCTAACATTGTGCTAGCTGGCAAAGGAGAAATGTTTGTAAGGTCAAGTTCTCGTATCACAGAGTAGAGCAAAGAACGGTGGATTTGGAACTGATAGACAATACCTTGATAACTGGCATATAAAAAATGATGGAGAATAGTATAGGAGAATGGCATGAGCCTCAAAACTGGAAAGGGTTTTGCATGAAGGTGGAAGAGCAAAAATAAGAAATACAAGTCAAGTAAGCAAAAATTGGGACCTTTGGGATCTGAGGACTGCAAGGTAATTGGGTATTTGAGAAAATGAGGTGGTTTCATTTACACGTGAAGATGAAGAGAACATTTGGTTTACGGTAGCCAAGCCTCAAAGGTGGAAAATTTTAAATGTTTAAGGGATGGTACAGTACTGAGTTTCAGCCCATTCTAACAGTACTTGGCATTTAAGTTTGGTGTAAATATTTGATGAATTAATCCATTATATAAGAATGTTTTTGTTTCTTAATGAGATATGTACTTTAAAACGATGATGGGGGAGTGGAGAAGGATTTTTGAATCATCCTCATCAGGTAAATTACTTTATAATATATTTGTACATGTATACTTACATGGTGAAATGATCTGTGGTTGAATAGTAAGGAGGGATTGTCCTCACAGAAGTTTTTTCATCAGACAAGACTTAGAAAGTGATGGTTGTATAGATGCAAATGATGCTGTAAAGTTGACTCACTTTTAGTAACTGTTGCCCAGTCTTATTAATTTGTGACCAGGCTCTGAACAACCTGGTTTTTGATACCAGATTTTTGCAGGAGAGCAAGAAGTGTTGTTTTTAATGTGGAAATTATTCACAAAATGAAAATTAAAAAGAACTCTAGCTTTTTAAAGTGATTTCATAATTTGTTAGTGATTTATTGCTTTTGCTTCTGATTCTAATAAGAAATTAAAGGCATTTGCATATGGATAATTGTACAGGCAAAGTGAAAATTAACCAGGCGTGCTTTTTTCCTATTTCAAAGTAACTTATGTAATTGAAAAGCTATCTTGTTTCTTTTCTTTTTCATCACAAAAGAGTAAAGGATATCTGTTCTTAGGCACATATAAAATGTCTGGTTTTTTACTTCATCTCTGAAATAGATCCTTTAAATTTCACATGCTTATGTTTATTTTACTTTTTATTTTTAAAGAACCAACATAGAGTGGTAGATCAAGTAATTAAAGCTGTAAGAAAAATCTGCAGTGCTTTAGATGGTGTGGAGACTCTTGCCATTACAGAATCGGTAAAGAAGCTGAAGAGAGCAGTTAATCTTCCAAGGAGTAAAAGTGCTGAAGTGAGTATTTTTTAGTAATTAGCATTTTATCACGCGCAAATATGTACTTAAGTGAGCATCTGTCACTTAAACTGGGAGATTCTTGCTACTGCTAGACAAAGTGTTAACCATTTCTTTGTTTTGTTTAGTTTTAAAACAAATTTTATTTATTTATGTATATATATGTATGTATGTATTGGCTGCGTCGGGTCTTCCTTGCTTCGCGCCGGCTTTCTCTAGTTGGGGCAAGCGGGGGCTACTCTTCGTTGTGGTGTGCAGGCTTCTCATTATGGTGGTTTCTCTTGTTGCAGTGCACGGGCCCTAGGCATGCAGGCTTCAGTAGTAGTGGCTCGTGGGCTCTAGAGCACAGGCTCAGTAGTTGTGGCACACGGGCTTAGTTGTTGCACTGCGGCATGTGGGATCTAACCGGACCAGGGCTTGAACCTGTGTCTCCTGCATTGGCAGGCAGATTCTTAACCACTGTGCCGTCAGGGAAGCCCAAGTGTTACCGTTTTAACTTTGGCTTTTACTTTTGAGCTGATTTGGTCACTTACTTGGTAAGGTGGGGAATTCCTAAGAGGAGATGGACTGCCTTGAAGAACTTTGTGAGAGTTGACACTGAATAGGTAGATGCCCAACTGAACTTTTTGTGTGTAGAGAGTAACTCTGGCAAAAATGAGTTGGTTTGGGGTTTTAAGGTAATACTACGCTTGAAGGACCTGGATAGTAATAGCTAACACTTCCCTCCCTCTGGATGGAAGTGTTCATGATTGTCAACGGGGAGGTTCTACTTTGGACTATACCTCCTTCCTATTGGAAAGACCCAGGAGCCTCAGTAATAGTGACTTAAATTGCCTCAGAGGCAACCAGGTTAGGAGCCCTCACTTGACATCATACTGTTGCATTTAGTAAAAGTTCTCCCCATGATGTTTCCACGGGGATTTAATTAACTATTTTCAGAGGGATGTTCATAGCTTTGATTGGAAGAATGAGAGAAGGATCACAAGACATGATAAATTTAAAGAAAGGAAAAGTTATATTGTTGGCATGTTCCTCAACAAATGTTTAGGGGCTAGCTTAATCCATTCATTCTCACAGAGAGCCTATTCTTATGGTATATAGAAATTTGGGTCTCTCGTGTTTTGTTTGTTTTTTCCTTTCTTATTATGTGCTTGTTTTTATAAATTAAAAAATATGTCTGAAATCACTTGGAGGTGATAAACTGCCATGGTCCTAATGTTGTCTGAGGCTTCTACTCATTATATTCATTTGCTGGATAAAGGAGCAGAGAGTAGAAGGAGAGCTCAATTCGAATAATTATAAGAGCTTTTTTTGAGACACTAAAGGGTAATAAGTAGAGTCTAGTTTCTTTAAGGATATGCTTATCATGCTAATAGTAGAGCAAGTAATGGAAATGCATTTTCTTCATATTAAAAATCATCTCTGGGCTTCCTGGTGGCGCAGTGGTTGAGAGTCTACTTGCCGATGCAGGGAACACGGGTTTGTGCCCCGGTCCGGGAAGATCGCGCAAATGCCCGGAGCAGCTGGGCCCATGAGCCATGGCCGCTGAGCCTGCGCGTCCAGAGCTTGTGCTCCGCAATGGGAGAGGCCACAACAGTGAGAGGCCCGCGTACTGCAAAAAAATAAAAAAACATCTCTTTATTTGATTTGGGATATTCATTTTCTTTTTGCAGTCTTTTTTTATTGTTTTATTCTGCGGACACTTGGGAAGTTTCTCCTATGAAGGATTTCTTTGATATAGAATTTAATAAATGTATTGAAATAAAAGGTAAACATTTTATATTACATCATGGGTGATTTTCTCACTAATTTGTATGTATGTAAGCAGGTGACTGGAGGAGGAGACACTAGCAAGAGTTCAACTAGAGGTATGTATTGAAGTTCCTTAAATTTTAGGAGTAATTGTTGCTTTTTCAGAGAATTATATTAACAATTTCTTTAAACCTAGGCTCACTGAATCCTGAAAATCCTGTTCAAGTAAGCATGGACCAGTTAACTGCAGCAATTTATGATCTTCTCAGACTCCATGCAAATTCTGGTAGGGGTTCTGTAGACTGTGCCCACAGTAACAGGAACATCAAGGAAGCATGGACCACAATGGAACAGCTCCAGTTTACAATTTTTGCTGCACATGGAATTTCGAGTAACTGGGTATCAAAGTAAGTAACTATTTAAAAGGAGATATGTATAGCTTCACCTAGAAGCTAATCTAATCTTGAAAAATGTCAGCATCCACTGTTACCTTGGCATTTAAATGGATGATACATGATCCACCAGATACCTTTGTGGTTTTCCTAAAAATTACAGAGATGTTTAATGCTCCTCCAATAAAAAATATCACCCCCACTACATACAGAAAAGGCAGGAAAATATGTTTAAACTTACAAGGGCAAATGCTAGTTAATACATTAGTCAATTTATGACTGCTATTTCTGCCTTTCCTTTAGAACCAGGGTAATGGGACTATAGCACATTTTTGTCCCCTCTTTAGTAGTTTACAATTTACTCTTTGCTAGACTTTGAAGTATGCAAGAGCATATTTCTTCTATTGAATTTTTAATATGGGTTTTTCCTTTTTGATTTTTTTGTCAGTGCCAAAAAGTTTGCCACCTTCAACTTATTTGGAAAAGACTAGTATAAACTGAAAAGCCCAAATTGAATTTTTTTTTTTTTTTTTGCGGTGCACGGGCTTCTCACTGTTGTGGCCACTCCCGTTGCAGAGCACAGGCTCCAGACGCACAGGCTCAGCGGCCATGGCTCACGGGCCCAGCCGCTCCGCCGCATGTGGGATCCTCCCGGACCAGGGCACGAACCCGTGTCCCCTGCATCGGCAGGCGGACTCTCAACCACTGTGCCACCAGGGAAGCCCACAAATTGAATTTTTTTTTTTTTTTGGCGGGCCCCGGGCTTCTCACTGTTGTGGCCACTCCCGTTGCAGAGCACAGGCTCCAGACGCACAGGCTCAGCGGCCATGGCTCACGGGCCCAGCCGCTCCGCCGCATGTGGGATCGTCCCGGACCGGGGCACGAACCTGTGTCCCCTGCATCGGCAGGTGGACTCTCGACCACTGCGCCACCAGGGAAGCCCCCCAAATTGAATATTTTTAATGAAATTGTTTTATAATAGCTATATATATATATATATATATAATAGCTATAAAATAAAGTCTAGTTATAGATACCAAACAAATTCTGCTTTAGAACATAAACTGAGCATTAGGTAATATATAATATAATGACTTGAAAGTGGTATATTCATTCATTCAGTAAATATTTACTGAGCACCATCTGTGGGCAGTATTCTTAGTACTAGGGATTCAGCAGTAAACAAGGCAGCAAAAAAATCCTTGCCCTCTTGGAACTTGCATTTAAATGGGTACTATTGGTGTCTAAAGGTATTTCATTCTTTTAAATAGTTACAGAGATAATATCCTCCACATTCTCCATACAAAACCATGTATACACACAATTAAATTTAGGGACACTAATGAGGAGAACAAATACTCAGTAGAAAACAACACAGTGATAATTAAGATGGAAAGAAAGTTAATACAGTGCTGTTTTTTTTTGTTGTTGTTTTGGCCATGCCGCACAGCTTGCGGGATCTCAGTTCCCTTACCAGGGATTGAACCTGGGCCACAGTAATGAAAGCTTGGAATCCTAACCACTAGCCCACCAGGGAACTCCCAATACAATGCTGATTTAAAAAGAGGTTGAGGGAATTCCCTGGTGGTTCCAGTGGTTAGGATTCCGTGCTTGTACTGCCCAGGGCATGGGTTCAGAGTTCCTTGTTGGGGAACTAAGATCATGCAAGCTGAGCGGCGTGGCCAAGAAAAAAAAAAGGAGGAGATTGAGAAAAGCAATTAAATAGTTAGCTATGTGAACCAGTGAGATTAGATTTGAAATATATTTAGAATGATTAACAGGTTGCATGAACAAAATGGTTAATGGGTAAGCCTAGCAGTAAGTTAGAGTACTTAGTAGAATACAGTTTTATTGAACCTAAAACTCCTGCTCTACAAGATTGCCTGACTGTATTACCCGGCTTTGTACTTGTAGCAGTTAGGGGCTAAATCATTGCTGTCCAGTGAAAGAATGCAATAGCCTCTGTCCCCTTGGATGGAAGCCTCCTAATAGATTAGGAAGACTGGCTCAGTGCAAGTCAGGCCCATGCGCCATTAATATGCTAAACTGACTCTATTTCAGTGGCTTAGCAAAGGAAAATAGCACCTAGGGGAGATAAATGTTTGTACTATTACTTCCTAGAATTTACCTAGAAATGAAGAATTATTCAGTGTCATTTAACTAAAATCTAAAGCTAGTAACTAACTGAGCACAAAATTGAGATAAATTCTCCAGCTGGTATCAGTATGGCTCCTTTAGACTGGCACCTAGTGATATATGTTCCCTTCGGTATTCCCTTTGCTATGCCTCTATTTTTGTAGGATTTACAATAGTTAAATTTTAGATGTTTTTCCATAAATTCAAGTGAATGGTAACCAAATTATTTCAGGTAATAGTCACTTTTAGGTAAGAATGGTTAATGATACATATTTGATTAGTTAACTGATTTGTATTATCAAATAAAAATTAAATTAATCTCTTTTCTCAGTTATGAAAAATACTTCTTGATATGTTCCCTGACTTACAATGGAAAGGATCTTTTTAAACCTATTCAATCAAAGAAGGTTGGCACTTATAAGAATTTCTTCTATCTTATTAAATGGGATGAACTGTAAGTGAAATTTCTGGCTTTTTATTCTTTCAGTATGCTGTGTTCTTTACTTTTAACCATTTATGCATACAGCTTTCAGTTTTAATTACAAGTTCCATTAAAATTCATTAAATTCTTACTGATATCTTAAAGTCTCTTCTAGATACAATTCTATAGAATGGACTGAAATTCTCATTTAAAAATCTGAAATATTCTTTTAAATCTTCATATTGTTAAATTGCAGAAGGTGCCATCAATTCTTCCTAGGCTTTGTCAAGTTAGTTACGTATAATTCTACAAAGATGGTTTTTTATAACATTGCTTTAGTTCAGTATTTATTCTGTAACACTGTATATAGGAAGCCTAGTTCTTGGTTAACAGATTTTAAAAATTACCTTAAATCCATGTACAAGATGATATTTTGCACTGTTAATATTTTTAAAATATTGTCTTCAAACTAAGGGAATGCTTTCATTATTTAGACAAGGAGGCAATTGCAGAACTTTTTACTTTTTATTCTGCATTTATTTAATGGTTCCTATTTTTCTTTTATTTTTTTAATTATAAAAATAGCACATGTCTGTCAAAGCAATCAAATAATACAAAAATGGGGTGGAAAGTGTCACTTTATTTTCAACTCTTAACCATCTCATCGCTCCTCAGAGTGACCACTGTTGGCCTTATGTGTCCTTTCAGATTTAAAAAAAACAAAAACAAAACACTGGTAAACATATGTCTGTCTATGTATGTGCACACATAAATCTCGAATCAGAAATACTCAAACATTCATCTAGCTTTTCCTAAAGGAAATAAAAATGATTATTATTTTGCCTAGAAATTGACATTGCCAGTCTTAAGTAAAAGCATTAACAAATTTTTGAAGAGAGAAATGTTATGTGTTTGAAATTTTAATGAAATTTATTTAAGATTTTTATAGTATTTGTTAGCGAAGCTTACTGCTTAAGTAAAGGTTACTCAGGATTAAAGATTATTTGATGAGCCAAATAAAATACCTAAGATTGTCAGTCTCATTAAAGCATTAAACTTCATATTCAGTCTAATTTGTTTTTTCTATTAATACATTTTCCCCCCATAGAATCATTTTTCCCATCCAGATATCACAATTGCCATTAGAATCACTTCTTCACCTTACTCTTTTTGGAATTTTAAATCAGAGCAGTGGAAGTTCCCCTGATTCTAATAAGCAGAGAAAGGGGCCAGAAGCTTTGGGCAAAGTTTCTTTACCTCTTTTTGACTTTAAACGGTAAGTGTTATTGAGTTGTAATGGTGAGTTACTGTGGACACACCTGCAGCATCAGAATTGGGTAGAGCGTGGAGTGGGGAACAGTGACATACGTGATGAGATAATGAGTTGCCTCATTTTTTCCGATGTGATAAAAGGAGGTCATTTCAGAGACACAGAGGAAACCAAAGTTGTACTGCTATAGTTTGAACATATCTATATGGGTATTCAAAGGATTGTTTGCCACTCACTATTCCAGAAGAAAAGCAGCAGCCAATTCATTCTTTAATTGTAATTTATGGAAAGCATTATGTTATAATACTCGTGGTCTTACAAGTTCCTTTGATATATTTTAAAAACCCACAAACTCCACTTTCCCTCTTTGCATCTCTTCCCCATCCTTCTCCAGTTTAAGCGAGTCTACAACTGCATATTATTCCCTTTACCTAACTGATCTACCCTTACTGCTATGGACCCCTGGCCTTTAATCTTCAAAAGTCCCACATGTATGCAAAATTAATTGATCCTTAGCGTTAAAGGAATTCCTTTTGAGCTTTGTGTCTACTAATAGCCATTGGGATAATGTAGCTGGCCTTTCAGCTGACTATTCTGATAATGATTTAAGTAATAATATGTTCCATGAGACCATCAAGTGTTTTCCTAAATGAAAAAAAAATTTAACTGAATAAGTTTGGAATGTTTGATATAGCACATGATAACATTTTGGAGCATGATAATGGACATTAGCATATTAAAGTATCTCTAAAGTTCTGCAGTCAAGAAGCCTACTGTGTTTAATAATAATATTACTGTAATTACAAATACATAGCATTTACTGTATGCTGGGTATTAGTCTGAGTGCTGTATACATAGCCTTATATACCCCACAACAACCCTATGAAGGTAGGTATTATTATTATCCCTTTTTACAGAGGGGAGAATCAAAGTGCCTTGCCCTTGGGCGCTTAGCTAGTAAGTGGCAGAAGTGGGATTTGAATATAGGCAGTTTGGCCCCAGGGTCTGTGTTCTTAACATTATCCTATATTAGCATTCTCAGACTTATTTGATACCATAGTACTTTTTTTGTTCTAGAATACATCTTTTAAAACATTGTGTCCCATGGGACAGTTTTGGGGAAATGACTTAATAACTGATCTATTTAATCTACAATAAAACAATTAAAAAATAGTTTAAAAATTCTGCTAATCTAGTTCTACTTCCTTTTTCCTCTTAAATGACAAACACAGTTTGAATTTCCAGTAATCATTTTAAAAATCATGTGGTGTTTGAAACACTGACTTCATAAGTTTTGTTTTTGAAATTTTTTTTCTTATGTACTTAAATATAGCATTTATTCACACATTTTTCTTTTCTTATAGTCACTCCCCCTATATGTGAGGAGGCAGATTTTTTTATTCTATAACTTCTGTTGGGCTCAAATTTTATTTGACACCTGACATAATTCTGAACTGCCAAAGGCTAGATAAAAGCAGTTGAAGAAATCGCTATTAGGACTTCCCTGCTGGCGCAGTGGTTAAGAATCCACCTGCCAATGCAGGGGACCTGGGTTCGAGCCCTGGTCCAGGAAGATCCCACATGCCACAGAGCAGCTAAGCCCATGCATCACAACTACTGAGCCTGCGCTCTAGAGCCCGTGAGCCACAACTACTGAGCCCATATGCCACAACTACTGAAGCCCGTGCGCCTAGAGCCCGTGTTTTGCAACAAGAGAAGCCACTGCAATGAGAAGTCCACGCACCGCAACGAAGAGTAGCCCCTGCTTGCCACAACTAGAGAAAGCCCGCACACTGCAACCAAGACCCAACACAGCCAAAAAATTTAAAAAAAAATTGCTATTAATGATGTATATTTAGAACCGTTTGCTAAATATAATCCATGACTACTCTAAAACGGAATATTGGCCACATAAAGGAGAATTGTGTTCTCAATTGTCTTCCCCCCCCCATAAATTTATTTATTTATTTATGGCTGCATTGGGTCTTCGTTGCTGTGTGTGAGCTTTCTCTAGTTGCGATGAGCGGGAGCTGCTCTTCGTTACGGTGTACGGGCTTCTCAATGCGGTGGCTTCTCTTGTTGTGGAGTACGGGCTCTAGGATTGCGGGCTTCAGTAGTTGTGGGACTTGGGCTCAGTATTTGTGGGTTGCAGGCTCTAGAGCACAGGCTCAGAAGTTGTGGCACACGGGCTTAGTTGCTCTGTGGCATGTGGGATCTTCCCAGACCAGGGGTCAAACCTGTGTCCCCTGCATTGACAGGCAGATTCTTAACCAGGGCTCCACCAGGGAAGTCCTCAATTGTCTTTGATAAATTAGTGTCAGGGAATAGTTATGTGAGAAAATTAAATGTAATTACATCATTATCATTAATTTTTATAAATGAGTCAGTTTTGAAAACCTTCGTGCTCTTGAAAGCACCAGGAGTCTTTACTTCATTTGAGAAGTACTATCATTTTTTGCCACTTTTTTTTTTTTTACTATTAATAAATGTTTTTTATTGGATGAATGACATTCTTTCAAAATTCAAAAGAGTAAGGGGAAGGGCAGTTGACTTTTTTTTTATGCGGTACGCTGCCCTCCCACCGCCACGGCCCCTCCCGCCACTGGATGCGCAGGCCCAGCGGCCACGGCCCACGAGCCCAGCCGCTCCGTGGCATGCGTGATCCTCCCGGACCGGGACACGAACCCGTGCCCCCCGTATCAGCAGGCGGAATCCCAACCACTGCGCCACCAGGGAAGCCCCAACTTTTGTTAGACAATTAAATAGTTGCATCCAGCACTCTACTGTTTAAAACAGTGAGCTGAAGCTGTTAATCTTGAGACTTTGACAAGTATTGTAGTCAATCTAGGTAATGTTAGGATTTAACATTCAAAAAATGCTCAGAAATTAAGAGGGAAGCTGATTTTATATTAATACATATAGAGAAAGTGTTAATGATTTAGTCTTTTAACGTACTGTAGTATAGTGGTCAGAAGTCCTGGTCTTGAAATTCTTTTAAAATTAATTTATGTTTAAGGTATAACCTGCGTACAGCCTGATGAAGTTACTATCATGAAAGCCAAATGATTTACAGGCATTTCGGTCAACCTCAATGATAAATGAGTTCTTAACTCATTTTTAAATAAACTGAATCAAGCATTTAAGCTGCTTTTCCTTTATAGTTGTGTCTCAGGATTACCAAATAATTGATGTGAGAAAGTTTTTTACGGAAGGAAAATAGTAGATGCAGCTAATAGATGCAGAAGGAATGACAGAATATCACAGTTTTGCAGCCCCTACTGAAATAGATTTAGGCCAGGAAATCTCAGTCTTGGCACTGTTGACATTTTGGGCCAGGTAATTCTTTGCTGTGGGAGACTGTCCTGTACACTGTGGGATGTTTGGCGGCATCCTTGGCTTCTGCCCACTAAATGCCAGTAGTACCCCCTAGTTGCCAACAAAAAAGTCTCCATACATTGCCAAATAATCCACTGTGGTCAAAAGCATTCTTGGTTGACATTGATTTAAGCAGTGATTTATCAATGCTTGTTTAAAATCATTGTGATTAAGTTTTCTGGAACTTTACAATGGATGATTTAGGCTGATAGCACTTGAACAAACCGATTATCTTCACATCACAGAAGGAGAGATATACCAATGTGTGCTTCTTTATTTGATGCATCAGGAACTAGTGGTATATAATACCACCTACAAAGTATTAAGTATTCTTGCCACATAACTAACCCTGAATCAGATCAAACCTTTAGATCTATTACAGAAAATATAGGAGATAAAGGGACATGCTAAATGATACCAGAGGAATGCACTCAGTAAAATCCAGGATGTAGAAAATTCTCAGAACAGAAGACCTGGATTCTTCAACAAATAATGGGGGATAAAAAAGAAGAATGTATGGATTAAAACAAGAGTTGGCGAACTTTGTTAAGAGGACCACATAGAAGTAGTTGAGGCTTTGTAGGTCATGTAGTCTCTGTCACAAATGTAAAAGCAAAGGCAAAAGCAGTGATAGATAGGCAATATGTAAATGAATGAGTGTGGCTTTATTTTAATAAAAATTTATTTACAAAACAAGGTGACAGTCTGGAGTTTGTTGACCCTTGATTTAAAAGATACTTTAAAAGACATATCAACCAATGCACATGTTGGATCTTGCTTGTATCCTTATTCAAACAAACCAACTGTTAAAAAATTTTTTTATAGACAATCAGAGAAATTTGAGTGCTGAATAGATAGCTAATAACTTTGAGTAATTATTTTTAATTATTTTGTTGTAATTATGTTTAAATATTTATTTGGCTGCACCGGGTCTTAGTTGCGGCACGCAGTATCTTTTAGTTGCGGCATGCATGATCTTTAGTTGCAGCATGCGAACTCTTAGTTGCGGCACGTGGGATCTAGTTCCCTGACCATGGATTGAACCCGGGCCCCTTGCATTGGGAGTGCGGAGTCTTAGCCACTGGGCCACCAGGGAAGTTTCTGTTGCAATTATGTTTAAATTAAAGTGTTTATCATTTAGAGATACATAAAAGTATTTGCAGATAAAATAATATCAGAATTTGCCTTCAAATAATCTAGTTGAAGGTGAGGGTGGTTCTAAAGTAGACAGAATATATGTGTCAAAGATTTTTTCTTTTTTTTTGGCCACCTCGCGCAGCTTGCAGGATCTCAGTTCTCCGAGACTGAACCCAGGCCCCCTGCAGTGGAAGCGCAGAGTCGTAACCACTGGACTGCCAGGGAATTCCTGTGCCAAAGATTCAAAGGCTGTTAACCTGCTAGAGAAAACATTAAGACTGGAGTCTAGTTTTGGAAAGGATATTTGCTGTTTGAATAAAATGAGCAAAGTTTGATGAAGTTTATAGTTTCCTGCTTTTATGTCTCATGTTATTATTCAGAAACTTCTTCTGTGTAAAGATATATCAATATCTTTATTGGTAAATGTTTTTAATTTCAGTAGACGATAAATTGGTAGTCTAGGGCAAGGGTCAGCATACTCCGGACCCCTGCCTGTTTTTTGTAAGTACAGTTTTGTTAGAACACAGCACACATTTTTTGAAATGTGTTGTTCATGGCTGCTTTGGCACTATAGTAGCAGAGTTGAGTGTCTGACAGAGATTGTATAGCCCAGAAAGCCCCAAATATTTGCTGTCTGGCCCTTTACAGAACAATTTGCTGACCCCTGGGCACAAACAGATGAAACTTCTCATCTCAAATGATTAGTGCTTTGGCACAAAGTAGATACTGGTTTTCTTGGCGTGCGTTTTTGTTCTTATGGTAAAAGTCAAGGAGCAGTTATGAAATCCAAACCACCATCTTGAGATGTGTTCCTCTGTAGATGATCTTCAAAGACTATCCTTCACCTTCCTATTTATAGAAGTTGTTTTGGGGACAGGTGACTCTGAGACTTTACCCATCTTGTCTTCTATCCTGAGCCCCGATTCTCGCAAGATAATGTTGCTTCATCTTTCCTCCTTTTGTTCTAACTCCCATACTTCAGTACTTAAATACTGAAGTGAAAGTACACTATGGAGAGTGACTCCTTCTGATATGTTCTTTTTATATAGAGGATGCTTAATAAATATTTGATTATTAACATTTCAAATTCATTACCATGTGTTGTGAGTTTTGAAGTAATTTTTAAGATGAAATCCACAGTATTCTTCTGTTTACATTCATGAAGGTTTTTAACATGTGGAACTAAACTTCTGTATCTTTGGACTTCATCACATACAAATCCTGTTCCTGGAACAGTCCCCAAAAAAGGATATGTGATGGAAAGAATAGTGTTACAGGTAATGATACTTCCTGACACGTGGAAAGGTTCAAATTTGAATTCTTTATGAAAAGTATATGTGTACCATGATCTGGGTTGTTACTAAAGAAGCCTAATTGATCTTGTTTCGATTTTAGGATCTATAATTAATTTAAATGTCAATAAACCATTTCCTATTTCTGAGAAATAGTAAAAGATGCACTTACACCAATCCCAAGTAGTACATGTGCTATTGAGAATTACCAGTAATGTTAATCACTTTTAATAAAAGGACAGAAGCATTAATTTAATATTTGGTATTATCACCCTGATGGCTAAGAAAAATCAAAAACAAGTTAATGTAGCAAATATGTGGACTTTTCAGCTATAATTTAATCAACTTCTGTTAATTTTTAAGGTTGATTTTCCTTCTCCTACATTTGATATCATTTATACCACTCCTCAAGTTGACAGAAGCATTATACAGCAACACAACTTAGAAACATTGGAGAATGATGTAAAAGGGAAACTTCTTGATATTCTTCACAGAGACTCATCACTTGGGTACACTCCTTTGATTTCTGTTTTGCCTGGGTATCTCTTACAATGTAAAGTTCAAGTTAATGGTTTATTAAATGCCCTGATTTAGTTCATGATTTAGTAATGTTCCTGATATGGAAAGTTTTTTTTTTTCCTGGTTTTAATTGTATACAAAGACTATATGACTACATAAAATTTAGAAATTTGTACAGGTCAATTTTTTTACATAATCAAAAGGCAAAGGATAGATTGGGAACTATATATCCTTAATATATGAAGGACCTTTTCTTATAAGTAGAAAAACGGACAACACAGTGGTAGACAAGAATATGAATAGGTAATTCTTTGGAAAAGAAATACAGTACCTTTTAAACATCTGAAAAAATATGTTCAACCTCTCAATAATCAAGGAATTGTAAATTAATACAAGATACCATTTCACACATCAGATTGTTGAAAATTAAAATGTCTCATATAAGGTATTGATGGGAGCAGAAAATGGGAATTATACTGTTGACAGAACTCTAAAAGCTTTTGGAGAGCAATTTGGCAAAATCTATAAAGGTCGCAGTGTCCATAGTCTGTGACCTAACAATTCCACTTCCAGTTAGTTATAGTGTATTTTAGAGAAAACCCTTTTATATTTGCTTGTGGAGACAAGAATATTCATTGCAGTGTTTATTTGGGTTATTGTAAAACTGATAGGGAATGTTCATTAACGGGTTGAATTACAGTACATTTATCCAACAGTACTATGTAACTATTAAGAATGAAGTTATAGCTATATGTACTAATATGTAAGATATTAAATGAAGAAAATAAGTAGCAGGATAGTGTGTATAGTGTGTTACCATTAACATATAGGAAAAAAAGAGAATCTACATACACCTTTGTGTATGCTTCTATATGAATAGACTACCTCTGGAAGAATATACAAGGTTAGGCAGTTGCCACTGGGAGGGGAATTGGAAGGAGAAACTTAATTGTGTGCCTTTTTGCAATACTTGATTTTTTTTTTAGTATTCCATGTGAAATAAATACATTTCAATTCAATGCATGGATTATATACACAGGGGTAGATAGATGAATAGTAAAATATTTCATTCACATAAACATCTGTCATTAACAGTAAATTAGAATTTCCAAGACAAGTTCTTTTTATTTTGAATATTCCTCAAGTGAGCTATATATTCATCTTCTAAAATTTTGTAATAGCATTTGTTTTTGGCATGACATTTGATTTTACTTTTATAAAATGATGAAATCCTTGCTGTCTCTTAGGGTAGGTTCTGCGTATCCAACTCTGATTTCCAGTGCCTGGCATCTGGTTAGAGCTCAATAAATTTTATTGTGCTGAATTATCCTTCTTTTTCTTAACTAAGACTCTTTTACCAAGGCAGAATGATTTCTTTCCATCCCCCAAATTAGGGTAAATTAGTGGTGTTTGCTGTACATTGCGTTTTTCTATTCCAAATTAGTATTAATGATTCTACCAAGAAGTGGCTGTCCTAAAAGGAATAAATTTCTTCTTTGTATTTTTAATCATTGAGATTATAACTGTCATTATGATATCACTAAGAAGTGATTTAATTTTGTTACATATTCAGACTTTCTAAAGAAGATAAAGCCTTTCTGTGGGAGAAACGTTATTATTGCCTCAAATACCCAAATTGTCTTCCTAAAGTACTAGCGAGTGCCCCAAACTGGAAATGGGTTAATCTTGCCAAAACTTACTCATTGCTTTGGCAGTGGCCTCCATTGCACCCACTGACTGCGTTGGAGCTTCTTGATTCAAAGTAAGTTAACTGTGGCTGAATTTATTTGCTCTGTTTTATTGTTTTTCCAGTAAGATATTATGTTGCAGGATTAGTTCCCTTTGTTTTAACATGAAAGCAATTCGATTCAATATAAATGTGTAAATGCATATTTCTATAAACACATCTTTTGTGTTGAGGTTATTAAAAAGGGATATCATATCATTTAAAACTAATCTAGAGAGGTTGTAAATTTTGAATACTTTGTTATATTTTTATGATGTAGGCCAGAATTAATTTTCATAAGGTTTCTAAACAGTCACGAAATTGGATTTGTGTATAGGACACTAAGATTTTCTTCCTAGAAAAAGAGAAGGAACACATTGCTTTTGAATAGCTATTTGAGTATTCTTTGTCAGGAATAGATTGAGATTGTGTTTTCAGGAAAAACAGCTTCATTAGAAAGAAATCGCTCTCAAATCTTGATTTTGTGGTATGCTTCTAGATTTGCTGATCAGGAAGTGAGGTCCCTAGCTGTGACCTGGATTGAGGCTATTAGTGATGATGAGCTAACAGATCTTCTTCCACAGTTTGTGCAGGTGAGTTTTTTACGAGGTTACCTACCCTCCTTACCCTCTCCCCAGTTTGTATGAGTAGGGACTTTGCTAAGGGATCCCCTTTCTGTTTTGATTAAAAGTACTTTTGTTGTGTGGGAATGTTGAGATGTATTGCATTTGGATTTAGTGTGAATTTTTTTGCACTATTATTATCAGCTGCCCTACTTGAATACTGACTATATATATGTACCTGGATTTTTAATTCTTGGGTTTTAATTCTCAGAACAAACCAGACTTGAACTTTTCTTTGATTTTTTTTTTTAATTGGCCTTTTAAACATAGCTAATGAATGTTATGCCCAGGTCTGTACTTTTCTGCTTGATTTCATTAATTTCACCTAAGTTAATTCATCTGTTTCATTTTTATCAGTATCACCTTTCATCCTTGATTTATATAGTTTATCTTTTGATAATTTTATCCTAACAATGTAGTATTGACCACTAGTGATTCTTATTTTTCTTTGCATGTAGGCTTTGAAATATGAAATTTACTTGAACAGTTCATTAGTGCGCTTCCTTCTGTCCAGGGCATTGGGAAATATACAGATAGCACACAATTTATATTGGTAAGATTTAAATTTTCTTAAGTACTTTATTTCTGTCTCTGTTATTTACAGAGATGACACTCAAAGTCTAAACTGTACGCTCGGACTATTTGCTGTTGATACCAGCTGTTTCATTGAAGTCATTATTATAAAGAAGCTAAATTTTTATGTCTTTAGAAATAAAACCAGAAAATAACAAAACCCTCTTGCAAAATTATTTGGCATGTTAGAGCTCTATAATAATGACTGAGTTTTTACTTGCTTATATAGCTTAAAATTAATTCCTGGATACCAAAAATTAAACTTGTTAAATTGATTTTGAGAGACATTAATCTGTTTCTCAGAAGTGGCTGACATAAATATTTTGCTGTATTAGGCTCCTCAAGGATGCCCTGCATGATGCACAGTTTGGTGCCCGATATGAACATGTTTTGGGTGCTCTCCTCTCAGTAGGAGGAAAAGGACTCAGAGAAGAACTTCTGAAGCAGACAAAACTTGTACAGCTTTTAGGAGGAGTAGCAGAAAAAGTAAGGCAGGCTAGTGGATCAGCCAGACAGGTATGTACCCATAGAGGGAACATAACTATTTTGATGTTAAAGGATCTTTACAGTGCTGACAAGTTGTTATTCTTTTTTTTTTTTAATATTTATTTATTTGTTTTGTTGGTTGGTTGTGCCGGGTCTTAGTTGTGGCTCGTGGGCTCTGTAGTTGTGGCACATGGGCTCCTTAGTTATGGCAAGCTGGCTTCTTAGTTGCAGCTCACCAGCTCCTTAGTTGCGGCGCACAGGCTCCTTAGTTGTGGTATGCGAACTTTTAGTTGCAGCATGAGTGTGGGATCTAGTTCCCTGAGCAGGGATCGGACCCAGGCCCCCTGCATTGGGAGCCTGGAGTCTTAACCACTGTGCGCCACCAGGGAAGTCCCGGTTATTCTTTTTCAATAGACATCCAATAGAACTCTAACACATTTACGCTGTTTTGGGCAGATTGAATTCAAAAGTTGCTTAAAACATGTTGGAAAAGATTTTATATCCTAACTCAGTTCCCTTTCATTTCCATGCTTATTAATTCCTTTCTGATCAAAATTGTTCTCTTGAGTTTCTTTTTCATTATTTTGCTTTTTAACATTTTTGTAATTGTAAAGGTAATAGAAGTATGAATTGATGCTAATGTTTAAGAAGTCCAAATGCATAAGTTTATGGATTAAAAAATTAGGACTTTTCCAGTTTCATTTTCTCCCTGTAGGTATCTTGTTCACAGTTAGTTTTATGTCCTGCTTGGTCATTTTATATGACCAATTATATATTTTACACATATATTCACATATATATACAAATGTTTGGAGTTAAAAATTTTTTATAGAAATGTATGTTATTTTTTAACTAGACTTCATTATTTTAACCACTTTAAGGTGTACAGTCCATTGGCTGTTACTGATAGTACATTCACAGTGTTTTGCAACCACCATCACTGTCTAATTCCAGAACATTTTCATCACAACAGAAAGCAAGCCTGCACCCACTAACCCTTTACTTATTATTCCCCTCTCCTCCCAGGTCCTGGTGAGAACTAACCTGCTTTCTATCTCTATGGACTTACCTATTCTGGACATTTCATATAAATGGAATCATGCAACATGTGGCCTTTTGTGTCTGATTTCTTTCACTTAACCTAATGTTTTCAAGGTTCATCCATATTCTAGCATGTGTGTTTATGGCTGAACAATGTCCCATTGTATAGATAATACCATATTTTGTTTATCCATTCATCAGTTGATGGACATTGGGCTTGTTTCTATTATTTGACCATTAATGAATAGTGCTGCTATAAATATTTGTGTATAAGTTTTTGTTTGAACATCTGTTTTCACTTTACCTAGGAGTAGAATTAGTGTATCATATAGTAATTCTATGTTTTTTGAAACTGTTACCCAAAGTAGCTTCACCATTTTATAATTCCAGTATAATACTAGTAATGTATGAGGAGTCCAGTTTCTTCATATCACCACCAAATTTGTTATTCTCCGTGTTTTTAAACTGTAGTCATCCTAGTGGATGTGAAGTAGTATCTCATGGTGGTTTTGATTTGCATTTCCCTAATGACTAATGATTTGGGGCACATTTTCATGTGTTTCTTGGCCATTTGTATATCTTCTTTGGAGAAATTTCTTTTCTAAGTCCTTTTTAATTGGTTTTTTTGTTGTTGAATTGTTAGAGTTCTTTATGTATTCCAGATACTTAGACCCCTATCAGATGTACTGTTTGCAAATATTTTCTCCCGTTCTGTGTATCATCTTTCTATTTCCTTCATAATGTCCTTTGATGCACAAAAATTTTACATTTTATGGTCTAACTTATTTTTTTGTTGTTGTTGCTTGTGCTTTTACTAGCATATCCAAGAATTCGTTGTCAAATAGAAGGTCACAATGAGGTACACCTATGTTTTCTAGGAGTTTTATAGGTTCACTCTTAAAAAGTCTTTGATCCATTTTGAGTTTTTTTTTTTTTTTTTTAATATTCTATGAGCTAAGGGTCCAACTTCATTCTTTTACATGTGGTTATCCAGGTGTTGCTGCACCATTTGCTGAAGAGACTATTCTCTCCTATTGAATTATCTTGGCACCCTAGTTGAAAATCAGTTGACCATAGTTATATGGGTTTATTTCTGGACTCTGAATTCTATTCCATTGATCTATATGTCCCTCCTTATGCTATACTGTTTTCATTACTATAGCTTTGTAGTAGGTTTTGAAATCAGGAATTTGAGTCCTCCAACTTTTACTTTTTCAAGATTGTTTTGGCTGTTTGGAAGTCCCTTACAATTCTGTGTGAATTTTAGTATCAGCCTGCCCATTTCTGCAATAAAGGCAGTTGGAGTTTTGATAAAGATTGTGTTGAATCTGTAGATTGATTTGGGAAATGTTGCAGTCTTAATAATATTAAGTCTTACAATTCATGAACATGGGATATCTTTCCATTTATTTAGATCTTTAATTTCTTTCAGCAATGATTTTTTTTTTTTGTAAATTGCTTTTTTTTTTTTTACTTTATGTTGGAGAATTCATGTAAGTACATATAGTTACACTTCATGTTTCTTAATGAGTACATGGTATTACATGGTATTACAAGGTATCTTAGCATAAATTATGAACTATTACCTCTATGTAGGTTGTTTATACATTTTTCTTTTCTCAAACAGTTCTGTGATGAATTTTAATATATAAGTGTTTGCCCCTTTGCTAGTATTTCTTTTTTTTCCTTTTTTTTTAAACATCTTTATTGGAGTATAATTGCTTTACATTGTTGTGTTAGTTTCTGCTGTATAACAAAGCGAATCAGCTATACGTATACATATATCCCCATATCCCCTCCCTCTTGCGTCTCCCTCCCACCCTCCCTATCCCACCCCTCTAGGTGGTCACAAAGCACTGTGCTGATCTCCCTGTGCTATGCAGCTGCTTCCCACTAGTGCTAGTATTTCTTCATAGGATATTCCTACAGATGAAATAATTGAATCAAGAGCTTTGTATATTTTTAGTTATAATAGTTTATATTAGATTCCAATAACAAAACAAAACAAAACTTACCAGTATACACCTCCCTCCCCACCAGTAGATTATGAAAGTATCTGTTTCCCACCTTGTTGCCAGCACTGGATGTTATCTTAAATTTTTTGTCTCTTAGATAAAAATTGGCGTCTCGTTATTGCTTAATTTCTATTTGTTAGTGAGTATTAACTAATATGTTAAATATGACCATATGTAATTCCCCCTATGTTTATAGCCTTTGCTATAATTTTTATTTTTATAGTAAAAATTAACTCTCTTTGGCAACAACTTTTTTGACCATTTGACAATTGGACATTTAAAAAATTGAGTCCATATCATATTTTTGTTGTCTTATAAAAAGGTCTTCATTTTCATTACGTACTTAACAGTATCGGTTTCTTTTCATAGGTTGTCCTCCAAAGGAGTATGGAACGAGTACAGTCCTTTTTTCTAAGAAATAAATGCCGTCTCCCTCTCAATCCAAGTCTTGTGGCAAAAGAATTAAATATTAAGGTGACATACAATGCTTATAAGTTCATATTACATTTTCAAATAATGTGTAGGAAGAAGGCAAATGGGCAGGTGTGCTTAAGGCAAATGCAGATAAAATCTGCATAGGTTGGTTATAAGTACTTATGGATGTATGTTTGTGTAAGATCCATATTTATCTCAGTATTGATTACACCATTCCTGAAAGAAAAAACAGTGTATAAATATTTACTGCCTTGAAATAAATTATTTTTTGCTATGGTGTAATAGCTGCATATGTTGTAATTCCAGTGGTAAAAGTACCCAGTCACAGGTAGGCAGTATTTTTCCTCTCTTGTGAATGGCCAGGTGGAGTCTTCCAAGGTTTATAACACTTCTTAGAGTCATCAAAAAGTAGTTGTAATCATCAAAATTGAGTAACTATATTTTTAATTGGGCTAATGGTAATACAAATAGTGGATTTTTCTCTAACATGAGTTCAGCAAAAGCAGCCGATTAATTCATCCATTAGTGTCTGTGATTTTGAAAGTCTAGGGTACAACTATCCATAAAGGAGTCTCACATTTAATTTTTTTAAGTTGACATATGGCTACTCTTCATTGAAATACTGGGTTCGCCAAAAAGTTCATTTGGTTTTTTTCCGTACGATGGCTCTAGTAGTGCTTAGTTGTCTTTAACTTCATGTGAAACAATTTTCTTAGATTGTATTGTGACAGCTGTCATATCAGCGAGCATTTAAAAAACAAATCATCAAAATTGGTGAATTTTTGTGTAGCCATTTTAATATTGAAGATGGAAGAAAAAAGCAACATTTTTGGCATATTATGCTTTATTATTTCAAGAAAGGTAAAAACACAACTGAAATGCAAAAAGAGATTTATGTGGTGTATGGAGAAGGTGCTGTGACTGATAGAACGTGTCAAAAGTGGTTTGCAAAGTTTCGTGCTAGAGATTCTTGCTGGATGATGCTACATGGTTGGGTAGACCAGTTGAAGTCAATAGCGACTTCATTAATTGAGAACAATCAACGTTATACCACGTGGGATATAGCCGACATACTCAAAATATCCAAATCAAGCGTTGAAAATCATTTGCACCAGCCTGGTTATGTTCATTGCTTTGATGTTTGGGTTCCACCTAAGTTAAGTGAAAAAAATCTTTTTTTTAAATAGATGCATTTATTTATTTACTTTTTTTGGGCTGCATTGGGTCTTCGTTGCTGCACGTGGGCTTTCTCTAGTTGCAGTGAGCAGGGGCTGCTCTTCGTTCTGGTGCGCAGGCTTCTTGTTGCAGTGGCTTCTTTTGTTGCGGAGCACAGGCTCTAGGCATGCGGGCTTCAGTAGTTGTGGCACACGGGCTCAGTAGTTGTGGCTTGTGGGCTCTAGAGCACAGGCTCAGCAGTTGTGGCACACGGGCTTAGTTGCTCTGCAGCATGTGGGATCTTCCTGGACCAGGGTTCGAACCTGTGCTCCCTGCATTGGCAGGCAGATTCTTAACCACTGTACCACCAGGGAAGTCCTAAAAAGATCCCTGACTGTATTTCTGCATGCGATTCTCTGCTTAAACGTAATGAAAATGTTTAATTTTTTTCTTTCTGGCAAAAAAATCATTTATAACCTCCCCATGCACATAAAATGACTGGATACACTTTGGTTTATATGCTTGCAGGCTTTTTCTAGTTACATGAACTATGTTTTTATAAAAATAAGCCCTTACTATATGAACTATTTTGTAACTACTTTTTAAAAATTTTAATTAAATTAATTAATTTATTTTTATACAGTAGGTTCTTATTAGTTATCTCATTTTTACATATTAGTGTATATATGTCAATCCCCATTTCCCAATTTGTTTTTTGAAAACAAATTGTGACAGGAGATGAAAAGTGGATACTGTACAATAATGTGGAATGGAAGAGACTGTGGGATAAGCAAAATGAATCACCACAAACCACACCAAGGGCCGGTCTTCATCCAAAGAAGGTGATATTGTATATATGGTGGGATTGGAAGGGAGTCCTCTATTATGAGCTCCTTCTGGAAAACCAAACAATCAATTCCAACAAGTACTACTCCCAGTTAGACCAACTGAAAGTGGTACTCGACAAAAAGCATCCGGAATTAGTCAACATAAAATGCATAATCTTCCATCAGGATTATGCAAGACCGCATGTTTCTTTGATGACCAGGCAAAAACTGTTACAGCTTGGCTGGGAAGTTCGGATTCATCCGCCATATTCACCAGACATTGCACCTTCGGATTTCCATTTATTTCAGTCTTTACAAAATTCTCTGAGTGGAAAACATTTCAATTCCCTGGAAGACTGTAAAAGGCACCTGGGGGCTTCCCTGGTAGCACAGTGGTTTAGAATCCGCCTGCCAATACAGGGGACACAGGTTCGAGCCCTGGTCTGGGAAGATCCCACATGCCACGGAGCAATTAAGCCCGTGTGCTACAACTACTGAGCCTGTGCTCTAGAGCCCGCAATCCACAACTACTGAGCCCGAGTGCCACAACTACTGAAGCCAGTGCCTAGAGCCTGTGCTCCGCAACAAGAGAAGCCACCGCAGTGAGAAGCCCGCGCACTGCGACGATGCGTAGCCCCCACTCACCGCGAGGAGAGAAAGCCTGCGCACAATGCAGCCATAAATAAAATAAATAAATTTATATTAAAAAAATATTGTATAAAAAAAAAGTCACCTGGAACAGTTCTTTGCTCAAGAAGATAAAAAGTTTTGGGAAGGTGGAATTATATAGTTGCCTGAAAAATGGCAGAAGGTATTGGAACAAAATGGTGACTGTGTTGTTCAAAAAGTTCTTGGTGAAAATGAAAAATGTGTCTTTTGTCTTTACTTAAAAACCGAAGGAGGGCTTCCCTGGTGGCGCAGTGGTTGAGAGTCTGCCTGCTAATGCAGGGAACACGGGTTTGAGCCTTGGTCTGGGAAGATCCCACATGCCGCGGAGCAGCTGAGCCCATGAGCCACAGCTACTGAGCCTGCGCATCTGGAGCCTGTGCTCCGCAACAAAAGAGGCCGCGATATTGAGATGCCCGCACATCACGATGAAGAATGGCCCCCACTTGCCACAACTAGAGAGGGCACTCGCACAGAAATGAAGACCCAACACAGCCCAAAATAAATAAATTAATTAAAAAAAAAATCAGCAAGTAGCTCATCCTCATTAAAAAACAAACCAAAAAAACGAAGGAACTTTTTGGCCAACTCAATATAAGAGTGGGTGCTTGAGCTGTATAATTATGTCACTGGAGGTGTGGGGGTTACATTTACCCCTTGAATTTTGTTTGCTGTTTCCTTTAAATTGCTCTTGCTCTCTTAAATTAGTTTTTTAGCCAGTTTAATTTTAATATTAGACTTGATCTTTGCTAATGAAATTGTTCAAGTTAGTGTCACTATTTGATCCCATGACTAATTATTAATTTTACTAGTACCATGAATAGAAGTAGAGATCTCATTCCAAATCTTACTGATTTAGAGGAAAGATAAGCATATACAAAATTTTGTGCTTTGTTGAAGGATTATAACACTTTTAAAGTGTCATAATATTTCAAAATTTTAATGGTTTTTGTCTCAAGTTTTTAAGGTATTGCTTCTCTGCTTAGACAATGTGTTATGTTTAAGTTTCAAAAAGTATCTTTATATACCTCTTATGTGCCAGATAATCTAAGAAGCAGCTCACGTGTGTTATTTCATTTGCCCTAATTCAAAGGAAAAAGTGAAAGGAGAAATGCCTTGGACAGAAAAATTTTTTTTTAAGTTTTTATTTCAGTGTTATCATTCTAATGCTTAACATATTGTATTTGTAGTCATGTTCCTTCTTCAGTTCTAATGCTGTGCCCCTGAAAGTCACAATGGTGAATGCTGATCCAATGGGGGAAGAAATTAATGTCATGTTTAAGGTGAGCAGAGAAAGGTGATTTTGTTTTTTGGTAATTTAAAAATTCTTTTCTCAAATTCCTTTTTCAAAATTGCAACAGTAGTTTTGTTTATTTAGAATTTAATTAAATTGAATAACTATGTGAAAAATTATTAAAAAGATAAACTGTTCCCAAATGGATTTGGTAATAAATGCAACTCTGGGCTAGAGCTGCTGTATATGGCCATGCTAGTTAAGTGTTAGTACATCATAGCTCTAAGTAATGCCTTTCACCTGAAGGTGAAATGGTATGCCCTGGAGACGTGCAGGGCGATATTGAAAAACTATGAGAGGGGCACTCTTTTTGGAAACGTGTAACTTACTTGTGAGAAGCAGCAGGAGTAGAGTACTTTAGAGTAATCTATTACCAGTCAAGGTTTTGTGTGTTGTGATCACAATTAGTATTATTTTTAAGAAAGAATGGAGAGTTTTAGTTAATTCAGTGAGTTCATTTAGTGGAGGTTCATCAAGATAGCTTCTCTTGAACCACCTTTGATATGTATATAGCAAGTTCCCATATACTCAGATCTGGTTTTAGATTCCATTTTATTGTGTTGATATATTTTCCTTTTCCTAAAACAGTATTATCTGTTTGAATACAGTAATTTTATATGTTGTAATATTTGTTAAGGCAAATCACCTCTTTTTTTCCATAATTTTCTTGGCCAGTCTCAAAAATGTATTCATCATTATGTGTTTTAAACTTATTTTATCCAATTTAAAAAGAAAATGAAAACTTGATGTGATCCAGTTAGAATTCGTTTGGGGAGAGCTAACTTTTTTTTCAGTAAACTTTTAATTTGAGATCATTGTGGATTGAAGTTTGCAGTTCACTGTAGTTCATTTTAAGAAATTACACAGAAATCCTGTATACCCTTTACTCAGTTTCCCCCAGTGGTAACATCTTGCAAAACTGTTTTACAATATTGTAGTTAGGATGTTGACATTGATACAGTCAAGATATGAAATATTTCGATCAACACAAAGATCTTCCATATTGCCCTTTTAAAAAATTGAACATAATTCACATACCATAAAACCCAACCTTTTAAAGTGTACAGATCAGGAAACTGAGACATGAAGAGGTTAAGTAACTTTCTCTAGAATGCTGCAGAAGAATAAAAATGTGGTTCTGTTCATCTTATTCTTTACTCTCTTTACTATTCCCTCCTCCCCACACACCCCCTTTTATTATATGTAATCTATTAAGTCTTTTGGAAATGTACAAGTTTCATTTTGTTTCTTTGATTTCAAGGTTGGTGAAGATCTTCGGCAAGATATGTTAGCTTTACAAATGATAAAGATTATGGACAAGATCTGGCTTAAAGAAGGGCTAGATCTGAGGATGGTAATTTTCAAATGTCTCTCAACTGGCAGAGATCGAGGTAAATGTGTTAGCTATGTCTTATGTTATTTCCTTGAATTTAGCTCAGAGTGCACCTGCTCTAAGGGTCCTGGTGCTGGAACACTATGATCTCAGCCTTATCACTTTCCTTTCATAGGTAAGGATGTGCAGACTTTATCTTGTCAAAACGAAATCAGTTCAGGGACTTCCCTGGTGGTGCAGTGGTTAAGATTCCAGGCTTCCACTGCAGGGGGCATAGGATACGTCCCTCATCGGGGAAGTTCTGCGTGCCGCACGGTATGGCCAAATAAAGGGAAATCAAGTCAGTTTAAGAATTCTCGCTGGTTTTATATAGTAACTCAATGAGTAGCCCTAATAAATGCTTGCATGACAATAAGTTTTACAAGATGGAAGTCACTTTATCAAGCAAGATTCCTCATTCATCAACAAGAGCCTGCCATTTCACTGAATTAGTTTTTCTGTCACTATACTTATTTCATATAGTTGAACTCTTCTTTCTTCTTATGGAATTCTATGTAACTTTGTAGGCAGTCAACTCCCTCTTTTTTTTATGTTGTTTCTAATGGTTGAGTGCTTACTTTGTGATTTGCCCTGTGCTAAAGCTTTTCACTCGTGTTATCTCACTGTGTCATTATTTTTCAAATGAAAAATCACATTCACATCCTCTGTGAAGTTGTTTTTTTTTGCGGTACATGGGCCTCACTGCTGTGGCCTCTCCAGTCACGGAGCACAGGCTCCGGATGCACAGGCCCAGCAGCCACGGCCCACGGGCCCAGCTGCTCCGCGGCATGTGGGATCCTCCCGGACCAGCGCATGAACCCGCGTCCCCTGCATCGGCAGGTGGACTCCCAACCACTGCACCACCAGGGAAGCCCCTTTGTGAAGTTTTTAACAAGCACCTTAGTCTACAGTAATCCTCCCTTCTCCAGACTCAGCAGTTGTCTTTAATACTTACCGGACATTGCGTCATCTCTGCTGGATTGATTTTAAGTTCCCTCAGGTTATGGTAGTACTTTGTATATTTATGAACGTTTATCCACTGTTTTGTACACAGTAATTTCTACATGTGTATGTTTGATAATGAAATTAGAAATTTGTATATTAAAAATTTGATTAAACATACTCATAGAATCAAGATGCAGGTATTCATTGAAAAAGGATGTCACTGTGAACTATAAACCACATAATGTAACCAAAACAACATAAAGGATCCAAATGAGTTCACTCTGCCATGTGTGACCAGTCTACTAGGATTACAGCGTGACCCTGCATGCTTTCGTTTTGGATGGCCTGGAGGACTTGGCCTTCTTGGTTATTTCCAGTCCTTTCTTCAAAGCAGGTCTCTGTGTCTGTATCTTTTATTTTGATAACAGTGCATCTCCTTGATTTGTTAAAATATATAAAACTAATTTTTAAAATATATAAAAAATATATGCACATAGTAAAATATCCATATAGCATGTAATAGAATAAATTGGAATGTAAATCTTAGTTTTCTCCCACACCTCCTAGGTAGCCTGCTCCCAAAATATAACTGCTTATATAGCTTTCTGAGACTATGTTTTTATTCTTTTTAAAAAAATTTTTTTGGCCACACCACACGGCACACGGGATCTTAGTTCCCCAACCAGCGATCGAACCCGTGCCCCCTGCAGTGGAAATGCAGAGTCCTAACCACTGGACCACCAGGGAATTCCCTTTCTGAGACTATTTTGTATATATTCCAACATGCATAATACTTTCTTTTAAACAAAAGGTACAGTTCAATATGTGGATTTTGTCTTTAAAAACATATTTTTGAGATTTTTCTACCTAAGCACAGCATTTACATTTCAGTAAGGAAGACAGAACATGTACTTGAGACTCAAACATATCACAAAGACAATCTTCATCTGTTCTTCCCTTTGAAAGGGCTTAATGTACTCTGAAACACTCTTTATTGCCCAAGTACATGACTAGAGAAAGTTTTTTGTGCAAAATGGGACAGCATGTATCTTGTAAGTAACTTTATTGATGAGGTCAGTATTATCTAGTTTGCAGTTAAAGTTGTTATTCTTTGTGTGGGTAGCACATGGATGTACGACAAAGTCTGAAATAGTCAAATTCAGTTTTATATCTTGGGTACTTTTTTTTTTTTTTTTGGTGGTATGCGGGCCTCTCACTGTTGTGGCCTCTCCCGTTGCGGAGCACAGGCTCCGGACGCGCAGGCTCAGCGGCCATGGCTCACGGGCCTAGCTGCTCCACGGTATGTGGGATCTTCCCGGACTGGGGCACGAACCCGTGTCCCCTGCATCAGCAGGCGGACTCTCAACCACTGCGCCACCAGGGAAGCCCTATATCTTGGGTACTTATGAAAATAAAAAATAATTTTGATTTCTCACATTTTCTAGCACGGGCTGCCGAGTTGATTTTTTTTTTAAATGTTGATTGTTAGCTGGTATCTTATGTCAAACGTCAAAAGCTATAAATTTGGTGGGGGGGAGACATTTTCACATATCTTAATGTTTTGTTGTTAAAGGCATGGTGGAGCTAGTTCCTGCTTCAGATACCCTCAGGAAAATCCAAGTGGAATATGGTGTGACTGGATCCTTTAAAGATAAACCACTTGCAGAGTGGCTGAGGAAATACAATCCCTCTGAAGAGGAATATGAAAAGGTGATTAGCTAGTCTCTGTATTCTAAATTTCTGTCAAAAATGTGTTACATAGGTCTTAAGTGCTTTCATTTTCCAGCTCTGGTGACTAGTCATTTAGTTTAGGTTGTGAATTTTTCTCAGTTTTAATGAGATCCTAGTTTATGTCAAGTCATTAATGTATTGTATTTACAGATAGATACGTACAAATGCTATCTGTTGACCTATGAAAGTAAAGTAGAGGAATTTTGTTCTTTGTTGGTCTTTTACACTATTTAAGAGCTCTCCCTTTTCTTAAACTGACAGGATCTCTACCTGTTTGTTGAAAGACAAAAGCTAGAGAGAAGGGGCAATAACCACCTTTAGAAGGGTGTTTGCTTTTGAAAAACTGGCTTCTGCTACCATAACCCAGTTTACAAGCTAATGAGAAAGTGGATTATAATAGTGTTTTCAACGAGTGATAAATTACTTTAATCTTTGTTACCCTGCCTCCTTTAAAAATAATCTTTTTCCTAAGATAATTTTGTATCTTTATTATAGGCTTCTGAGAATTTTATCTATTCTTGTGCTGGATGCTGTGTAGCCACCTATGTTTTAGGTATCTGTGATCGACACAACGACAATATAATGCTTCGAAGCACAGGACACATGTTTCACATTGACTTTGGAAAGTTTTTGGGCCACGCACAGATGTTTGGTAGCTTCAAAAGGTACTAATATTGTTATTATTGCTAAAGAAAATAGAGGCACTTCCTATTTCACAAGTTAATGTCCCCATCTATTACATATAAAATAAGCTACAAGGATATACTTGTACACATATAAAGTAAGCTACAAGGATATACAACACAGGGAATATAGCCAGGTTTATAACTATAAATGGAGTATAATCTTTAAAAATTGTGAATCACTATATTATACATGTAACATATAATATTGTATATCAACTACAATTTAAAAAAATCAACTTCAAAAAAAAAACCAAGTTAATGCCCCAAACTTCGCTTTTTTTCTTGCTGTTCTTTGCCTTGTAGCTCCCTTTGAGCGTAACTAGGGATGAAAAAGGCTCTAAAAGATGACTTTACCATGTAGCAGAAAGAATGAGTATGTGTGTGTAACCTTTGAAATGAGTTAAGGTGTATTTTATTTTATCTAGTTAGTGGTACCTATTAGAAATGTTCCCATTTATATAACGGCAACGAGTACAAATTTTTTCTCTATATTTGTTTGTAACTAATATTTGATCTCTGTTTGGCTGTGGGTGGATTGATAAATATCACCTTGGAAATATATATAAATTCTACCTAAATAATGAGATTATATGATGGCTTTCCTGGGGAAATGTGAATTTTTAAGAATTATGCAAATTCAGAACTGCCTGATACTAAGTTACCCACTTAGAAACTGCTATGGCTCAGATAGCTTTAGTTCAATAGCCATGTAATAGCAATAGCACTTATTTGAATATCTTCTGTAAACAGTATTTTGTATGTACTTTCTTTTTAAATAGGGATCGGGCTCCTTTTGTGCTGACCTCTGATATGGCATATGTCATTAATGGGGGTGAAAAGCCCACCATTCGTTTCCAGTTGTTTGTGGACCTCTGCTGTCAAGCCTACAACTTGATAAGAAAGCAAACAAACCTCTTTCTTAGCCTTCTTTCACTGGTAACTCTGTTCTTTACAAGCATTTAATTAATTTTAAATTAATGGCTCTGTGTTTCAGTATCTAAAAATAGATATTTTGTGATTTTTTGGAATATAATTTATTGTAGTTTCAAGTGTCATTACCGAAATATTTTAAAATTGCTGCCATGTGAAATATGCCAGACACCATTTATATAAAATAAAAAAATAAGTCACTAGATAGAGTGGGTACCCTGGGGATGAGCAGTAATAGTAAGGGACTATTATAGAAGGGACTCTGAGAGTATCATCTGGGATGCTGGTAAATGTTTTATGTCTTAATCTGGATGTGTTCAAATTTTGGACATTCATTAAGCTGTGCTTTTAAGATTTCTGTGCTTTCCTGGTTGTATATTAAGTAAAAACAAACCAGAAAAAAACCCCATGATTATTGTGACTGAAATTGATGTAGAAACAGAGGACTACACAAAAGACCTGGATTTCACAGCGTTTATTCCATAAACTGGCTATGACTTGCAACAATTGATCTCCTTGGCCAAGATTTTTCTTATTTATGAGAGAATCACTTAGTCCCTAAAACCCTAACAAACTCTTTAAAACTGTGATTGTTTTTGGTTTGTTTGCTTTATTTCTGATTACTTGGCCAGCTTTTAGGGAGGGATGAGGAACAGACTTTTAAAAAATTTAACTCACAAACCTTTTATCCTTTCTAAAGATGATTCCTTCAGGGTTACCAGAACTTACAAGTATTCAAGATTTGAAATATGTTAGAGATGCACTTCAACCCCAAACTACAGATGCAGAAGCTACAATTTTCTTTACTAGGTAAGGTATATTTAAGTATATTAGAGAAGGCGCACAGTTTAACCTTGATTTGTTTTCCTTAGTTTAAACAAATGCTATAATTTTGATTTATAGGAAAAAATTGTGATTCACAGTACTAGCAAATAGGTTTATCAAAAGTTTATTTACTGAATAAATGTGAAGCATCGGTAATAGCACTTTAAAAAATACATTTATTTCAGGAATTCCCTGGAAGTCCAGTGGTTAGGACTCGGTGCTTTCACGGCAGTGGCCTGGGTTCAATCCCTGGTTGGGGAACTAAGATCCAGCAAGCCGTGTGGCGCGGCCAAAAAAAAAAAAATTTACTTCTCTCAAAATATGATCTCGGGGCTTCCCTAGTGGCGCAGTGCTTGAGAGTCCGCCTGCCAATGCAGGGGACGTGGGTTTGTGCCCCAGTCCGGGAAGATCCCACATGCCGCGGAGCGGCTGGGCCCGTGAGCCATGGCTGCTGAGCCTGCGCGTCCGGAGCCTGTGCTCCGCAACTGGAGAGGCCAAAACAGTGAGAGGCCCGCGTACCGGAAAAAAAAAAAAATCTCAAGTTTTATTTAGTATATGATTTCAATTCTAAACGTCCCTTTTATGAATCATTTCTGCAAAACATAATTTCTACAGTATCACATACAAGGTTTTTCTCTAAAATGGTATCTCTACTAATGTATTTTTCAGGATTCTGCCATAACAATTTTCATGGATACCATAAGTGCTTAAAACAGTGAACTCTGGGTCACTGCTGTAGTAAATTGTTGTTATATGATGTAGTACTTGAAACACATGTACCAATGAGTGGCATTTGAACTTGTGATTATTACTTTAGAAGCAGATCTTCCTGGCAAATATGTTCTAAAGGTCTGGTGACCATGTTGGTCACAGACTAGTGGTACCACCTCATTAAATGGCACAGCAGGGAGGAGCACATGAGCTCATATTCTTTTCTTTCCTTTTTCTCTTGCCTTCTTCCTCTCAGTGAAGAAGAGGTAGAAAACACTGGACTGGACTTCCCTAGTCTCAAGAGTCTGGGCTGAATTGAATTGAAGGAAGCTGACTTTTATATAGCCTTCCAAACTAATCCTGATAATTTAGGTATTGATGGGTTTTGTCTTGTTTTTTGAGATTTGTTGGATCCCCTGGGCAAAACTATAAAGCAGGCATGTAAGTATTAGTCGGCTTGACCTGCCATAACAATACACCATAAACAAGATGGCTTAAACAAAGGAAATTAGTCTTCTCATTTTTCTGGAGGCTGGGAAGTCCAAGATCAAGGTGCCAGCCTATTTGCTTCCTGGTGAGGGTTCAAGCTTGAAGATGAAGGAGAGAGGAGAAGAAAAAGGAGGAAGAAAGTCATTCTTATAAGGACACTAACTCCATAAAGGCCCTGTGGGGTTGGGACTTTAACATTTGAATTTTGGGGGACGTTCAGTCCCATAGCAAGGCAAAAACCTTTGTGTGAGGTCCCCTGACCTTTACTTTTTGACTCTCTTTTTGATTCTCACTCCTTGACAAAGTGAGAATCTACTCAATATTTTTAAATGAATAAAAGTGTTTTTCATCTTTTATTGTTAAAATAATTGAGAATGTTTTCTTATGAACTTTAATGTTAACACATTGTCTGATTATCTCTAGGCTGATTGAATCAAGTTTGGGAAGCATTGCCACAAAGTTTAACTTCTTCATTCACAACCTTGCTCAGTTGCGTTTTTCTGGTCTTCCTTCCAATGATGAGCCCATCCTTTCATTTTCACCCAAAACATACTCCTTTAGACAAGATGGTCGAATCAAAGAAGTCTCTGTTTTCACTTACCATAAGAAGTACAACCCAGATAAACATTATGTAAGTATCTGTATCTGTATCTGTAGACACTCATGCGTGCATTATTTTTGTCCTTTCCTACTTCCTTCACTGACTCTGCTAAAGTTCAAGCATTTGTTCTTTTCATACTTCTTTCTTCCATGGATGGTCCAAAAATTAATAAGTATACTTGGAGCATCCCTAATTGTTTTTTGGTGTTTATTTCTTAGTAAATTTGCTCCAGAAGCATGAAGGACAAATGATACTCTTCTTTTCAGAGACAAGACTGAAAGGGTGCTGCTATTTTGCTTTTCTCCTTCCTTATCTTCAATTTGTTTTTAATTTCAAAGGTAAACCCTTGCTCAGTGTAACAAACTCAACCAATATAGAAGCATGTAAAGTAAAAATCTAAGTTCTCATTCCACTCTCCAGGGATGATTATAAAACATGCACATAAAGTTGGGTTTTTTGAACAAAAACAGGATCTTTAGTGTGCTCCCCCCCAAAAAATAGTATAGCATTATCATCTTTTTTGCTGTTATTTTTGTGCTAATATTTTTGTTGGATAACTTTACAGCACCGTCAGCCTTTAAATTTTTGACAAATTGCTAGATTTTAAAAGTGACTTCACTATTTTGATTTTTACCTATTCTTAGTAAATTTTTATATGTTTACTGAGTATTTTAGGATACCATTTAACTGAATAGTCCATTCTTTCCCCCCAATGATTTATAATGCCACCTTTAAATAAAGTAAGTTTATATCCCTGAATTTATTTCTGGTCTTCTGCAGATATATCTGACTCTCTGTGCACCAGCATTTTACTCTTTAAGTACTTTATAATATATTGACAGTGTAAATATCCAGTAAGACATGTTTTCCCCCATCTCCCAGTCGCCCTAAGTTTTGCCTTCTCATTTGCTCTCATAAATGAATTAACTTAATATTTTCACTGAAAATGCGCTACACTTATAAATTTGGAAGGACATTTATATTTAACCCTAGAAATAGAATGACTTTCACATTCCAGTTATTTATTTAGACAATAGTTAAGAAGGTTACTCTTAGAATGTAGTTAGATATGCTATAAATACCTTGACTTTTATATTTGCTGTATACTGTTGGTGACATATATATTGCAAAGTGAAAAGCACTTGGTACATATAATGGTCAAGCTGAAAATTGTCTATCAAGAAAGGTTATATTATAAATCTAATGTGTTAGGGGTGTGATTTCTTTTCAGATTTACGTAGTCCGAATTTTGAGGGAAGGACAGCTTGAGCCATCATTTGTGTTCCGGACATTTGACGAGTTTCAGGAACTTCACAATAAGCTCAGTATTATTTTTCCACTTTGGAAGTTACCAGGGTATGTTCTCATCCTTGTACATTAATCTTGTTTTATAGGAAACAATTTCTTTATTACCAAGTATAGGTCAAAAGCTTTGTGTTAAGCTAGTGTAAGATACTGTACTATGGACCGTGTGCAGCTAATTTTCCTTTGTATCACAAGAGCCTGACACAGTTCTAGACATAAACAAGGAACTGAGTTTTTCTTGAATGAATGATTAAGATCTTAAAATATGTTTAAGTTTACATGTTTGTGTAAATTTCTAGCTTTCTAAATCACTGCAGGAATAATCTATTACGGCCATATTGAGCTCCTCTGAAAAACAGTAAACTGAGGCACTGATCACTGATCAAAATGTTAGTGTTTAGGTTTGTATTTGATACCCTTTGGAAACCTTCAATTTTTAAGGTAGCTAATGACCAGTAGATGTCCTGTGTTGAATTGCTCCCATTCTTCTCAAGACTAGATTTCGAAAATAAGGAGGCAGTAAAGTGGGTATCAGAGTTTATTTCCATGTGCAGTCTCATTTTACCACTGCCACCAAAATAAGCAGAGTTAAGATGAACTTGATTTGAGCCCTATGGCATTTGTGGATTTTATTGGTATCAATAATAGCTATGGCTGACTGAATAATGATTATTTTGGAGGATAAGATCTTCAAATTTGTGAATGATTAATCTTGAGTAGAAATAAGTAGGAAATAAGTAATAAATATGCATATTAGCAATGTACATTTTGTACCAAGGTCATAAAAGGATAATATATACTTGAACTGTTTCATCTGTAGTACTTGGAAAAGAAATCCAAAAATTACTTTATAGTGAATTAAGATGCCACTTTGTACTTAAGTGTATAAAAGAATATTTCTAAGTATTATACTTGATTCTATAAATACTCCCAGATGAAATAATTTAAGTTCCACTCCTTTTTTTCTTTTGTAGCTTTCCTAATAGGATGGTTCTAGGGAGAACACACATAAAAGATGTAGCAGCCAAAAGAAAAATTGAGTTAAACAGTTATTTACAGAGTTTGATGAGTGCTTCAACGGATGTAGCAGAGGTGACTATCCTAACTGAAAAATAATAACATACTTTCTGTGCTGCATAGTATTTAAATTAATGAGTCTTTTTTTTCCCTCTTCCACCTTAGTGTGATCTTGTTTGTACCTTTTTCCACCCTTTACTTCGTGATGAGAAAGCTGAAGGAGTAGCTAGGTCTGCCGGTGAGAATATTTTTCTCTTTATTGATAATTCATGACTTCCCTATGACCTGCAAGTCTGTAACTTCTCGATGGATGTGGTAGAGTGACAGTGGGGTTACTGTCTGTAAACAGTGAGAATGAGAGGAGGGTATTCTTTCCAAGCCAGTTGATTTCTGGATAAACATAATTTTCCTAATGGAGTGTGATTACTAAAGAAGTGTGTGTCAGTGGTCTACCAGGTTCTTACCTTTTTTTCTCCAACATGTGATGGTCCTGGAATTAGAGCAAAAACTTCTGTTGCAGCTTGAACCACTGCAAGCAACATAAAATAAAGATGAACATATTTATATTTTCAGATGCAGGTTCCTTCAGTCCTACTCCAGGCCAAATAGGAGGAGCAGTGAAATTATCTGTCTCTTACCGAAATGGCACTCTTTTCATCATGGTGATGCACATCAAAGATCTTGTGAGTGATTACAAATGATGATTGTAGAGGAAACCTACAAAACCTTGGTAGGAAACATTACTGTTAAGGGAATGCTTTTCTTTATAGGTTACTGAAGATGGGGCTGACCCAAATCCATACGTCAAGACATACCTACTTCCAGATACCCACAAAACATCCAAACGTAAAACCAAAATTTCACGAAAAACTAGGAATCCAACATTCAATGAAATGGTAAGTTAAAATCATTTCTAAAAATTTCCTAGATTTGTTGTTTTAAGATTTTTAATTTTAAATACTTTAAATTAAAATTTTTTAGCTATCAGTAGCTGAACTATTTATTGTACTAGTAAGGCAAACCACTAGCAGTCCAATGGTATTTAACAAAATAATGCAGAATTGAACCTTTGATCATAGATCCTTAGGCTTTAAAAAGATCTTAGGGGCCATTATTCAACTACCCTTCTAGTGCTTAAACCCTTTCAAAAAGTGTATGTCTAATCTGTGCTGAAATACTTCCAGGCCATCCAGTTTGTTTTGGGCAGCTTCAACTCTTAGATCATTTTCTTTACTGAGCTGAAATCTTCACTCCCTCTAGTTTGCACCTGTATGTCTCAGTTGTACCTCTTGGAACCACACAGAAATGCTCTGTTCTTCCTTCTACGTGGCAGCCCTTGAGACAACTGAAGTTCAAATGCCCTTCCTCTTTATTCTGTTGAAACATCTTCAGGACCTTTACCTTGGTTTGATAGGAGGTAGTTTCAAAATCATCCTCCTTCTAATTTGTCTTAGTCTGTCAACAACCCTCGTAAAATAGAGTGATCTGAACTGAAAGCAGTAAGCGAAACATCAGCTGAACAGTGGGGAGCAGAACTGTGACTTTGCTGAGCCACTCATGGTCAACTTATAAATTTACTAATCTATTAAAATGTGCTAACCCCTAGTCTAACTACTAGTTGGGGATAATAACCACATTATTTGTGTACATTAACATTATATCCACACAGAAATGTCTGGATAGAGATTTGGAAGCAAATAATTCTGAAGTTTCATCAAGGTTATAAATTTATTAAAACCACAGAATACCCTTTCAGCCCTTTTTAAAAGCATATAAAATGTTTGGAGAAGACCAATTGGTATTATTCTCAAAAAGTAGTATAGGCTTTTCTTCTAGTTAGTGTTATACTTTCAAGAAACTGAAATGTGGTCATTTTTTTAGTTCTTTTAGTCAAACAGTGAGAACTAGATTAAGGAGATGTTGCTCAGAAGTTATGGTGAGGCTTTCTTGAAAAGAAAAAAATTGTGTTGCATGCAGTGTTTGAAACAGAATAACCTTACAACACTCCAGATTTGCTATAAACTACATTTGTAATTGGTGATTTTGCACATGGATAATCAGAAATTATCACTTCATGGTATACAAAATCCAACAGAATAAAGACAACAAAGGGAAATTTTAATCCCTCACTTTTTGTAAAATAGTTACAATTACACTATCCCAACTTGCTTCCTTCTACTCTCTTTCTTCCATTCTCTTCCTTCCATTTCTCTTTTAAAGATGATCTATTAAATTATCTTAAGGCAGGCTGCCGTGTAATTTTCCTTCCCCATACCTCCATTTCAGAAAAACCATGTTTTTAGTTTTTAGCTAATAATAATTTTCTGCTTTGTGCATTCCTGTCAGACACTCAGAGGAATGATAGTACAATCCAAGACTCCTGAAATACAAAATGTGCATCTAAAGTATGAGACATATTCTACCAGATATGTCATAATCACTGTCATTAGTTGTAGTCACTCTTTGACTAATAATCTCACTTATGTTTTTATGTAAAATAATCCTAGAAACCGGACAAATAAATAATTTGTAATCTGCTGTTTCTTTTTGCCTTTGCTATAGCTTGTGTACAGTGGATATAGCAAAGAAACCCTAAGACAGAGAGAACTTCAGCTAAGTGTACTCAGTGCAGAATCTCTGCGGGAGAATTTTTTCTTGGGTGGAATAACCCTGCCTTTGAAAGATTTCAACTTAAGCAAAGAGACAGTTAAGTGGTATCAGCTGACTGCAGCAACCTATTTGTAAGCTAGTGAATTTCTGAGCTTTGGAAGCAAGAATAGTTATAAACATGTGCAGACACACGTGAACTTTGTATAATATTTTTATACTGGACAGAAATTATAAAGTAAATGTACTTGCTGCATTTCAACACATCTGTTGGACCAACAGTTACTTAACTTTTATGAATTTGTTGACTCCATTGCTGTTTTAAAGTCATTGTATAGAATGCTATAAATCCTAAACTTAATATATAATAAGTCCTGAAAAAGACTTTGAGTTGGTGAAGGAGTTAATCCTTTCTTGAGTAATTCAGAGTAATAGCTTTAGTGTGGTCTGATAGTATTGTCAGTTCAACCATCTATTTTGCATTGTTTCTTACACAGACATAGCATGTTTGTTTTCCTGTTTTGCACCTTTTACAGCCTTTACCACTGTGTATGTTCACAAACACCAAAGGAGAGGTAAGGTGCAGGATGTTACCATTAAAATGCAGCTGCTATTCACAGGGCTGAAAAGCAAAGCACAACTAATAAATAGTTATGTTAAGAACTACTAAGTAGTTTATAGAAGTAGGGGAAAATAACATTGCTTTTTATTATTCATGTCTTTAAAACCTTTTTCAGAATAAGTGCCAATCACTGAAGTTGTAAATAATGGTGCCTTAACTTCATATGCTTCTCTGGCACTTCATTCTGAGTTTTTTCCTGACTTAATAGTAAGTAGTTTTGACTCCCTTTTTACTAAAGACAAGAAATTATGTAAATTTACTAATGCTTTTCCCACAGATAGATCATTTTCTGTACTTCAGATGTGTGACTTATTAGTTATTCAAACATCAGCCATTTGTTTTATGTTTTCTTTGCCCAGTAACTGAACGAGATTAATCAACGTAGATGTTCAACTATATTCCATCATTCCATTATAATCCTACATTTATTCCCAGGAGGGTGAACTGAAGTTTGGTAATTTTACCTTCATATATCTATACTCCACCCCTCATTAAACGAGAGAAAATATTCCCTCAAGTGTCCATTCCTGTTCGGTAGAAGAACTCCACGAGTAGGGCAGACTCTTCACAAGAGGCCCAGGACAAGAATTCTAGGGTCCAGACTAAATTTTAACGTAGACCTTTATGGCACAGTTTGTCTTGTACACTGTCTTACTTACCTTTGTAAACATTTTACATTCGCATGAATTACTTTCCTTAATATAATGAAATTTAGAATCATAAGGGACATGATTGAAATCATGTTCTTAACCATTAAGAACAGGGTTCACTTTTATTATTCATTCAACTTCACACATAATTTTGTGTTTAGTTTGGATAAATAGATATATAATATTAATTCTCATGGCTAGAATAGGAATTCACTTTTAAGTGGTAAGAGACTGTAGCAATCTAGTTGCTGTGAGATAACTGACGAAACATTCAATGAAAAATACCAAGAAAGGAAGGACAATCTCTGATTCAGTTGCCCAGAACAGAATTTTTATAAACTGTGCAAATGTTTAATGTAAATGGTGATACCTGCAGAGCAGACAAAGAAGAGTTGAGAATGTATCAGTGGGACAGGTTAAAAAAAAACTTGAAATTTTTGGTGCCTGACACTAATGGTCCACTTGTAGGAAACCCCGTATGATATATGAATGTCTTTTTTTTATATTAAAATGTGTTGTCTATTTAATAAGTTAATTAAAAGGCAGATCAAAACACCGCTGTTTATTTGCTTTTTCCACATACAGTTAACATTTCCTTAAAGTGTGTAAGTAGCTTTGCAAATGTGAAGAAGTACTAGATATTTTCACTTGATTTTGAGACCTAATTCCATTCCATGAATTGTCACTTAGCCACTGTTAAAAAAAAAAAAGAAAAAAAAGTACTGTCTTGGTAAAAGGTCACTGTTACTTGGACTCAGTGTATACTGCCTGTTTGCAATCTGTTATAGCAGTGTCTTTTATACAAATAGAGCTAGAAAATGTGATGTCACTTTTCAATTACAAGAAATATGGATTTTTAACCAAAAATGTATATTACACACAGTATAGTTAACCAGAGTTCAAAACAAGTGGTAATCTTTCTCTTAATTTAACTCATTATGTGCCTTCTTTGGTCATTAAAAAAACACACGTTAAATATATTTTAAATATAAGTTATTTCTTTGTGAACGCTAATCTTCAGCCCTTACCAAAAACAAACAAAAAATGACAGAGGCGCCTCTTTGCACTACTTACTATCAGTAAATTTTTAAATGTTTTTTTAAACATTTTTTTAAAGCTTGCATTAAAGTAAATCTGAAACAAAAGTTTAAACAAACTAGCCAAGACACTAATTTTTATGTATAATCACAGTGTTTTATACCTATCTTTACTGAGTAAAAATAGTTATGCTTAAGTCATACACCAAAAGAATTTTTTACCCTTGCAGTGTTTTGGGATTTGAAAATAATGGTTTACTCAGAGAACCTATTATTTTCTCTACTGAGGAACCCAATGTAGAACTTGCACTGATGTTTTTATTACTGCCTTTATAAGAATCTGTAGGTATCCAAATGTTAAAGCATGTATGATCTTTGATAAAGTATTCTTTTATCTTTTCAAATTAATGTTGTGTAAAAGTTTCAATATCTTGCCTTAAATTGGTTGACTGTTCTTTCTAGGATTCATGTGGCATTTAAAAAAGAAAACATTAAATTTGATACTTAGACTTCAGATCAAAAAGGAATCAAGCCCCACTACCATAATCCATGGGTTTACTTACATGCTGTTTGACTAGCAATGCAAATATGAATAAATATGGCAGTTAGTCTCATCTGTAAGAACCAAATACTTTAATTATGTTAAGGTAGTTAATAAAGATGTATAATATTTTTATTAATACCTTGAATATATTCAGTGGATTGAATGTGACTTCATAACTGTACTACAATTGTATTAAAATATTTCTGGAACAAAGGAACTCTGCTATAATTTCTTTTTTTTTTTTAAGATTGTTTTTTTTGATGTGGACCATTTTTAAAGTCTTTATGGAATTTGTTACATTATTGCTTCTGTTTTATGTTTTGGTTTTTTGGCCGCGAGGCATGTGGGATCTTGGCTCCCTGACCAGGGGTCAAACCCACACCCCCTGCATTGGAAGGCAAAGTCTTAACCACTGGACCACCAGGGAGGTCCCCATGCTATGATTTCTTTCCTCCTCCACATATTAACATTTTTGGTTCCAAACTCTGATATGAGCTCACTGTTGCTATTCTTTGCATCCAACCCAGGAATTTATTAGATTCAGATAATCCTGCATTTCAGAACTTGCCTGTGATCTGCCCCTAAAAATGTCCAAATAGAGTGTCTGACTTCTAAAGTGTGGTTCTTGGAAGGTCTGGATTGCCACTTTGTTAGAGCCCCATCACCATTTCATAGAAGTGAAATGCTTCTGTGAGTATGGTCGCTGGCCTTCGGTAATTTACTTAAATATTAAGTATGTCTATAGCATGGCTATTACTATACTATCTTCAGAACAGAGAATGTAGATTCTTAATACCATACCTCCATCCTGGAATGATACCAGTGAGGTTGTGTTTCTCTGATCCTAGAGATAACATGTAAAAGGGCCAGAAACCATGAAAGAGCAATAACTTAATTAGAGCCAGTTTCTTTGGTTGATAAACTCAGTTTGTGTCAGAAACAAAACAACTTTATTTTACCTTTACTGTGTTGAAACACTTTATCACGCAAATTTTAGACAAAGTTAGACAACAGTATAATGAACTCCATGAATGAATCCTGTCACACACCGTCAACAGTTATTACCTTAGGGCTAATCTTGTTTGATCTATATTAATGATGATGTGCCTAGGTGTAGATATCTTTATTTTTTTCTATTTAGGATTCTTAAATCTATGGATCAGTAACTTTCTTCAGTTCTGAATAATTTATTATGACTTTTCCAATTCACTACTTCTCTCTTCAACTGTTTAACCCATTCATTGAGTTTTTAATTTGGGTTATTGTATTTTTCACTTCTATTTGGTTTTTTTTGTTTGTTTATTTGAATCATGATCCAGAAAAGACACAAGACTGCCAGGATCAATGTGGAAAGAATAGTTCTTTTTCAACAAATGGGGCTGAGACAATTAGATAACCACATGCAAAAAAGTGAAGTAGGACTCTTACAACATATACAAAAATTAATTCAAAATGGATCAAAGACCTAAACATAACTAAAATTATAAAACTCTTAGAAGAAAACATAAGTGTACATCTTTGTAACCTAGAATTAGGGTTTCTTATGTCACAAAAAGCACAAGCAACAAAAGAAAAATAGATTGGTTTTCATCAAAATTACAAACTGTGCATCAAGGACACTATTAATAAAGTAAAAAGACAACTCACAGAATTGGAGAGAATATTCACATATACCTGATAAGGACCTGGTATCTGGAATACATAAAGCACTCTTAAAATTCAAGAGAAAGCAAATTCAATTTTTAAATGGGCAAAGGACTTTTGAACAGACGTTTCTCCAGAATGGCCGGCAATCACACGAAAAGATGCTCAATATCTCAGTCATTAGAGAAATACAAAACTACACTGAGATACCAATTCACACCCACTAGGATAGCTAGAATTTAAAAAGTTAAGTGTTTGTGAGGATGTGGAGAAATTGGTGCCCTCATATACTGCTGGTAGGAATGTGAAATAGTGCCAGCTGCTGTGGAAAACACTGGCAGTTCTCAAAAAGTTAAACATAGCTTCCCTGGTGGTGCAGTGGTTAAGAATCTACCTGCCAATGCAGGGGACATGGGTTCGACCCCTAGTCCGGGAAGATCCCACATGCCGCGGAGCAACTAAGCCCGTGTGCACTACTGAGCCTGTGCTCTACAGCACGTGAGCTACAACTACTGGAGCCCACATGCCACAATTACTGAAGCCCACGCGCATAGAGCCCATGCTCTACCATAAGAGAAGTCACTGCAATGAGAAGCCCACGCACTGCAAGGAAGAGTAGCCCCCGCTCGCCGCAACTAGAGAAAGCCCGCGCGCAGCAACGAAGACCCAACGCAGCCAAAATTAATA